TTAAATAAAAAGCAAAATTAGTATAATAAAATTAATATTAAATGAAAAAAAAAAAAAATTTGCTCATTTATCATATTTAAATGATACATTTCATTTTGGATGAAAAAATTGAGAGTGAAAATGAAAGTTATATGATACATTCATCCTTAATGTATTTACATTTTCGTAAGTTAAAATTATCTAACTAAAATGAAATAAAATGATATTACGAAAATATGATATGAAAAGCATACGACAATAAATGACATTTCTATGAGAATCTTTTTTTTTTCAATCTTTTACAGCAAGCGCAATTATCCTCATTGATAATAATCAAATTGTTTATTTTATAATTGATTAAATAAAAAAAAAAAAGAAAACTTAATCAGTTGAAAAAAAAAAAAAATTTTTTTTTTTTCTAGAAAAAAATTGAAAAATTTTTTGAAATTAAAAGAAAATGAATATTTAAAAAGTTAAATAAATATACCACAACCGTTTTTTAGTCCATTTTATGTGACAAATAAATGTGTTGGTTGACAAATATATATATATTTTCATTCCATTAAAAGTATTAAGTATTAAATAAAATTATTTTAATGATTTGAAATATTAGCTTTATCACTCTATTTATTATCACTTTTCTTCTGATAATTTTCAATGATAGAAAAAGGAAAATTTGTTTTGTTTATTTTTTAAATTTGTCAAATTTGATATTTATGAATAATAGATGAATGAACAGTGGATTTGTTATTTTCTGATCGATAATGCAAATATTTTTTGTGAAATTTTCAAATTAGAAAAGAATTGAAAAATTTTTTTTTTTTGAAAATAAAACAAAATGATTATTTTTAAAAAATTAAATAAATATATCAAAATCGTTTAACACTTTTTTTTTTTTTTTTTGAAAACAAAATTTTATAATATATATTCGTTACAATTTTTTTTTTTTTTTTTAGTTATTATTTCATTTTTTTTTTTTTTTTTTTTAAAAAAAATTATCAAACGATCGTCAAATGCGAATTTTAGCTTTAAATGAGGACACTTTGTTGGAAATAAATTCTAAATTAACATTATTTGGGACTAAGTTAAAAAGAATTTGCACAGTGGCGCATATATGCATTTTCTTTTCACATTTTTAATGATTTTCTTTTTTCTTTTTTATTTAATTTGAGCTTTTGCATGATTTAATTATCAGAAATAAATAAATGAAATAAAATGGAAGAAAAAAAAAAAAAAAAGTATAAAATGACACACAGATTTATTTCTCTTTTCGTAATTTATTTAATATTTTTAAAGATATAATAGAATAAAAAATGTTTCACTAATTTAGCAATTACTTTGTTTTTTTTTTCTTTTTTCTAATTACAATTAAGATATCTATTAGAAAGATTATTTAATGTTTACAGAAATATTTCATAAATAATTAAATTTGTATTCATAAAAATATTAATTGTATTAATGTATGCATAATTTAAATTTTAGATGATAATAAAGGAAATTTTTTTTTTTTTTTGCAAATTTATCAATTTTTGTATCAATTCTTATCAGTTTTCATACTTTACTTGTTAAAAGTTCATTGTAACTGATAACTTATTTATTCATTCTTACATTTGCTAAAAATTTTGCAACAACAAATTTATCAAATTTAGACTTTTTGCTGCTGAAAATTTTCATTTTTTTTCGTAAAACAAAAACGTTATGAATTGAATTTTTCTTTTTTTTTTTTCAAAAGTTAAAACATTCGAGAAAAAAAAAATCGAGAAAACATTTCATAGCATAAACAATAACAAAATACCAATAAATCATGACAGTTGTGAAATTATCAGGACATTTTCGTCGAGAATAAATAATTTCATTAGATCAGTAAAGAAGCAATGTAAGAGAGAACACTCATTAATAATTCATTCAGTTCGTTCTATTTCAAATAGTAATTCATTCCTGTGTGGGTGGATATTAGCAAATAAAATTTGAAGAACAAATTTAAATACATCCTTTTATTGTTGAGTGAAACAAACTAAACGAATAAAGAAAAATTAGAAGAAAAAAGAAAAATTTGATTTTTTAAAAAAAAAAAAAGTTAAACTTTAAACTAACAACAATGCCTTTTTCATATTTTAAAATATCAAATTAAATATTAATGTGAAATGGGTGAGAAGATAATGATTAGCATTTTAAATGTTAAATTTATTCTCTCAGAGAATTTTTTTATATCAAAAATGAAAAAAAAAAAAAAAACGAAAGAGAAATGAGAAAAGTAAGGATGAAAAATCGGAACGGACTATCTTGCCGGATGCTACGTCATACATAGAAAATAATATTTGAAATGTTACGTAGCAACAACAATCTATGAAGTTAAATGGTTGAAAACGATATATGCAATGATGTCGTGTGATACTGAAGACTAGGACAAGTGTATTCAGCCAAGTAGCCAAGTAGGCACATTAAAATATCATTGGACAACAAACAACAAGAAAAGAAGAAAAAACTGTGGCCATTAGCTATATATGTTAAACAAAACATATCAAAAAATATTACAATTTTTTTGTTGATCAAATATTTAATACGATTATATCAAATATGCAAATTATTCTGATCTGGAAGAGAAAAAAAAAATAAAAGTTATTATCATTGCTGTATGATAATGATAAAAGTAAGTAAATATATACTTTCGAGTGATTGAAACTATTGCATACACATTTTTCAAATCTTTTTTTTTTTTTTTTTTTGTATTTCATTTATATGAGCCATAAGATATAATCAAAAATAAATAAACAATTCTTGGCTGCATTAATGATAAAACTTTTTAGAATTCAATTTGAAATCAAAAATGTACAATGAAAATTGGACCAATTCAATAATTGAAATTTTTTACTCTAACTGATAAGTGATATGAAAACAGTTAATGAAGCATTAAAGAATTTGAACTGATAAGAAAAATGATTTGATATTGACTTGTAACAGTTCTTCTTGTTATAGAAAGAATTCTATGAACTTTTTGATATTAAACTGAGCTAAATTATTGCATCCGTTTTTGATCACGGAATCTTAATATAGCAAATTTGTGATTTAAAGTGTTCAAAAAGACATGGACAGATTAAGTGACCATTGGCTCTTATACATTTAGAAAGTAATTCATGTTAATTGGTCGAGAGTGACCAGAAAAGTGAAGCGCTTATATATTCAGGTAAAAAACATTGGAATTTAATGCAGGTAAACAAGCAAACATTCTCGACGTATTTGTGTTTGTGATAAGATTTAAGATTATTAGAAATGCAATTTGAAGTGGCTAATAAATGATTAGCAATTGATATAAGTCAATATGAGATGATCAACGATCAATATAAGATGATCGAGAATGATCGGTGTTATTCTTGATGGAACTGATCGTTCTCAATTAGTTCATCAAATATTGGTTCATTCAGATAATATAAAAAGTCTAAAGCCGACTAATAAAACAGAATTCAAAAAGTTACTTAAAATTAAAATAGCAATTTGTATTATTTTAAACTGATAGTCAGTGATAAGTTTGTTAATAAATTTTCTTAATTTCTAAACATGAACTGAGAGAAATAGCTAACAAAATTAATTGATAGTAGTTTTTTTTTTTTTTTTTTTATTTTTTCATTTGTTAAATTTGAAATGAAAATATGAAAGAGAAATAGAGGTGAAATTCCGATAAATTCAAAACATCTGATAAGAACTATTATGCCAATTGTTGTAATATGGATATCAATAAACTGATACTGTTATTAATGATTAGTTGTCACTTCTGATAAGGAATATTGATTAATTTTTTTTTTTGCTATTTTGTTAATTTGTTTCAGAAACAATTAAAAAAAAAAATAATTGTTGTAATAATGGAAATTAATAAACTTATATTGTGATTAATGATTAGTTGCTACTTTTGATAAGGAATATTGATTCGTTGTTACTTCTGATAAAGAATATTGATTATTTGTTAGTTCTGATAAGGAATATTGATTGATTGCTATTTTGTTAGTTTGTTTCAGAAACAATTAAAAAAAAATAATTATTGTAATAATGGAAATTAATCAAATGTTACTGTTGAGAGATGGGAAAAAAGAAATCGTTGTTAAAAGATTTAAATGATAAAAAGAGAAAATAGCTTTTGCATTAAATTACATTGTTTTTTTTTTTTTCGCAAAGATTTTGAAGTTTTTTTTTATATTTTAATTTATTTTTTTTACTAACAACAATGATAACAATAGAAATGATAGTGTTGTCCAGAAGATTTAAAAATTATGATTGTTTAATGAAAAAAATCCGAATATTAACTTTATTCCTAAATAAGAGAGTTTTTAGTGATTGTTGATTACAGAGACATTTCTTTATAATATTTTAAAAATTTTAATTAAAAAAAAAAATAATAATAATAATTGACTTAAAAAATCAACATAGCTAGAAAGAATCTTATCACTAAGTGTTGATCGATGTTATCAAGAAATAGAAATGATCGATTAGACTCTTTACAATATCCTTTGAGTACTTGAAGTTGTCTGTGATAAGTTGTTAAATTTAGAACTAACTTTCATTTCTTTTAATTTCGCTGTAACTTATCCAGAAACCTGTTGGCCAATTTGATTAAGAGGTCTAATCAGCTCTCAATTAATTCAATTTAAAAAAATGTTACGACTGATAAAGTATATATTATTGATAACTGTACACATAATGCGTGAACTGATAAGCATATCTAATTTTATCTTGATAAAAAAAAAAACCATTTATAAAACAATTTTTTCATTTTTATTTTTCAAGTTCAACAAATGTTTGTTGTCATGTTATTCTCTATTTCATTGAAAATTGCAAATAATTAAAAATATCTTTGGTGTCAAATAATTAAAAATATCTTTGGTGTCACATATATCATGTACAAAAATATTGAAATGCTATTCTTGAGAAAGAGAGAGAGAGAGAGAGAGAGAGAGAGAGATGGCGATATTAGTTGAAATTAATTTATTCATTGCATATTTTATAAATCTTCCTTCTTCTCTGAAACTTCATCCAATTATTTGAAATGATTAGAAGCAGTGTGTTCAATACTTTTCCCTCACTATTGAACTTCAATTGTTTCAAGAAATTATTTCAGATAAGTTTGAAATTTTACTTGGAAAAAGAACACATTATGAATGAAAAGGCGCAATTAGGCGCAAAATGTCGCAATCGTTGGCTAACATTTTGACTGCTAGAATAGAGCAAAGACTTGGACATATGTTATTTGTGTAAGGATAGATACTAGGGACAAGATCATCGAATGTTTACTGGGCAGCCAAAGTAATCATCGTTAAACTATATAAATTCTCTCAGGGTAACAAATAATAAGTGGAGACTATGTTTACTACTTTGCATAGATCAGAGTAATATTTATCGTTGTAGCAGTAAACAAAGATGTAAAATATATCAAATAAGAAATGATTTTATCAAAGAATTTTCATTTCATTTGAAATGTTTTGGACAAAGAGGAAGATTTTAAATTTTAATTTCCTAATAATTGGACAACAAAACAAATAATAGTTGCATGAATGAGAGAAAAGTTCGATTATTACTTTCAATCAGCGCCATTTGTGAGTATTTTCAAATAATCAACTCAAATTGCTCACTTCAAAATTATCCTAAATTATTTTCATATAATTTTAACGCTTAACAACACCTTAAGTTCCTATTTGTTTGTTTTCTTATTCAAATGTTAATTGTGTACAAAGATTTTATTTACGAGACGGTTGGTTGTTTTTTTGTTTATGAATTAAATAACATTTCCTAATTAGCAAATAATTTTCATAAGAAAATAATTTGATCTTTTATTTCAAATGTCAATTCCTAGGATTCCTCAGCATGTACAGAACAGCTTTCATATTTCAAATTTTATTTAGAGGACCAGATGAGTTCATCTTGTTTAACATACAAAAAAAAAAAAAGAAAAAACTTAGTTTGTGGGGAACATTTGTAAGCCTAACGTCATTGCTAAATTGACTAATCAGTAATTTATAGTTGTAACAATTATTATATTACATGGTCGAACAAGTCTCGAAATAAGATTTGTCCTATTATTACATTTACTCTCATAACAATTTACTAACATTCTACCAGTCCTAGAAATTATAGCTAAATATTTAGTAGAAACTAAAACTATTTCCTGAAATTCTTCCTCATATAATGCAAATATTGTTGAATGAATAATTAATAACAAAATGAATGACAAGTTGCTCTCTGACTCTCCACGAAAAATATATAAAATTTTTCGCGCAATAAAATCAAATTTGTTAAGCAAGAAAAGCTAGCAATAATCATTTAATTACATTTAGCAATCGCAAGTCGGCACGGTTCATAGACTTCGTTAGACTTCCCATGGGAGAATAAAGTTGTTCAAAATCAAAAAATACACTTCAACTAGTAATTTTATTCCATTAATTCTCACAAAGAATCAATCAAATCATCTACTCTATGTAATAGACATAGACTAAAAAGTCTCATCTTCTTGACTAAATTTCATACCTGCAAAACTTATGCTTCCTTAAGTGGTCATAATTTACAAATGTTTAAGTCAACATTCGCATTTTTCTTTTAGCACTCATTCAGTCATATCAGATACTAATATATTTTATTTATCACGTTATTACGTGACTGAGCAGCATTTCACGTGGCATCATTTGCTTCACGGTAGTCGATTGTAATGGAACAATTCATTGTTTTCAGAAGCATTTCTTCAGTAGCTGATGCAGTCGATTCATGCCGATGTTTGAGCCATTGATTTTGTCGGTAAACAGCTCGAAACATTATGACAAGTATAACAGATAAACAACATGTTAGTACGAATAATAAAACTGTGATTGAATCTTCGTTCACTCCATTTTCATCTATAATTTAATGATCAGATAATGAACAGATGATACTGAATGACTAGGTGATTGCAAGAATTCTGGTAAGATCGATTCTACATCAATGAAGAAGCATATTCAGGCTGCGATAAAGGGGCATAATATAGAGTTCTGCACATGATGTCATCACTTAAATTTAAAGAAGAAAAAAAAAAAAGATATCTCAGTTTTACAATTCCTGGAAAGGAGAACAGGAACTACCCGCAATGCATTCAGGGAATGAATCATTCCATAGGCCTGACTTCAAGCATACGATCATCTCACTGCCGTATAAAATATAGCCTTCCCAACACTTGAACCATACTTGCATACCTCGCCGAAAAGTAGCACTGGATAGGTTAGAGGTAATGTAAGCACCTTTCTGAATGAAAGGTTCAGGACAAGTTACTGAAATAAAAATTTTGCTTTGTTTTTTTTTTCCTTTTTAATACAATGCTGCTGCTGCCGTCATCAGAAATACAATTCTCTCCACTTTATTTTTCCAAAAAAGGCTCTTCATATGATTAAAGAATAAAATTTACATTTTGGAATACAACTTGGCCACTTGGGTGGGTACCAGCCAGAACCGGAATGTGATGCAGAATTGAGGCATACCACTGAGGAGGGACCAATAAGACGAGTTGTATCATCCTTGCATCTTAGCTCTAGCTGTAATATTAGCTAATAATGTATTATTTTATTCAAAATAACTCATTCAGGCTATCATTTTGGGATCACTTTTACGACACTAAACTTCAGCGAAGTAAAGTGAACTTGCAGAAAGCATATCCCAAATGACATTACAAAATATAACATTCAGTACGTCTTTTTTGATCATATATCTATTTAAAATTGTCTTTCACTAAATTATCAAAAAATGCTTTGCATATTGTTCCTATCAAATACCTTGGTACCCAGTGGAAGTAACGTTTTTGGAGAAAGGCAGCTTGTAGATTTTCCTTTACAGTTAATGCCATTGGTGATAAAATCAAGGAAATGCGGAATTTGTCGAGTTGTACAGATACTTCGTGTAGCTGAAATTAAAGTTTCTACTCAAATATGTGAAAAGATTTATATGATTTGGTGTATTTTCTGGGAAGTCCTTTATTTATTTACCTTAACTTTAAGTGTATCACCATCTTTTTTTCCTCATTTGCTGTGATCAAATAAGAATGAAGAATTTAGGAAGGTGATAAAAATGATACCAGTAGATAAATTAATAATTAAAAAAGGATTGAAAAGAGCTTCAAATAGTTCGGGGATTTTGAAGACTGGATTTTAACTTAATTTTATTCATAATTCCGATTCTCAAATGCCGATTTCGCTTTTATCTATGCACAGTAATGAAAATAAAGCTATGAATAATGTAAAGCAGACCGCAGTTTGGATATTTGAGACCGCTCGGTACATCGTTAACTTCATAGACCCATTGACTGTTAATACATCGTAATGTGTGCTTCCCTGGTGGATGTAACGTATTCTGTGCCAAAGCACATCTAAACAGTTGATTTATTGGATCTTTTTTATCACCATTTAATTATTGACATTTTCTTCATATTATGTTGAAAATATTTGGGACTGGATAGTCACTTGTGGTGTGTAATATTCAGAAAGTGAATAATGTACCACTACCTTACCATGAATTTCACTCCAATTAAAACTACTGAAATTGAAGAGATCAAAATAAATCACACCTGACAATCAACGTATCATTATGTCTGAAAAATCGAGAGTTTTTGGTAGCATTAACGCTTAGACCGCGATGAATTAGATGAGGCAACTCGCATATATGGAATGTTGGATTTCCATAAGCACAACCTGGACGATTACTGTATGTTACAGCACCACCACTACCGATCAATAACCATATACCGCCACTTCCAGAACTATTCAATGTACAGCGCAAATGTACACTACTCTAAAACAGAGAACAAAAAAAAAAAATATTAGAGAAATATTGTTAGTATATCAATCCATAAATGGATGGAAAAGGATATACCAGTGGATGAATGACACCTTCTTCAAGTTTCAGTCGTCTTTCTGATCCACAACTCACTTCAGCCACTGTTTCAGTCGCATACTGAAATAATTCGTTTATCAGATTGACTAATTTCGAAAAATTCAATTTCAAAGACTGAAACATAGATAATTTTAATGAAGCAAATGCAAACAAACTGTCAGTAACACACAATAATAGACAAGATATTATTCCACATTAGGCTTTAATATTTTTAAAATTATTTTTGCATCCAGTTGCAGCACCTAAAAATGAAGGGAAATTCACACGTACCTGACCTTTCGAATTAGCTTCAATAAAGAAACTTCTCAGCGTTACGCGATCACCCAGCGTTGAATTTACAATTGGTGATTCACACCACTGAGGACTCAATTCTTTACCCCATAGAAGCTCTTCATCACCGTAATCCTCAAACTGAATTTTTCATGAATTTTGGAAAAAAAAAAAATAGCAATCGATCGATAGATTGATTACTCGAAGTAATTGAATCTAATAGATATTATCATAAAGTTCGTACAAATAGCTCTGTTCATATTACATCCTTACGACAAAGTTCAATAAATGAACAATGACTATATATTCCGGTAATTCCAGTAATTCTGATAATTGAGAGTAATTACTAATAACATTATATTAGTCAATAAATTCGATTATTCCACTCTTGTTTGTTAGTCCAACGGTGATATTTTACGTTTTTTACATCATATTCATCTACTGTTAGCACGAAATTTGACTTTCAAGAATTCTTGAAATAAGGAAACTAATCACATCTAATTAGCATCAAGAATTCTCCATAATTATTACTTAAAATTTTTCATTGAAAATAGCAAAAAAAAAAAAAAAAAACAAAAACAAAAAAGTCAACAAATTACCATATAATCAACATCTTCGCCAGTTATTTCCATGATTTGTCCCATAGATAAAAATGCATTGAGCGAAACGAAGGATAGAATGAGAAGTACAATACAGTTCATTATCATCAAATGAAAAAATTCACTGTCGCCAAATGTCCCATGTCGTTCTTCAGGACACTAATGGTAGAAAATTGAATTCTAATTCAATTTATTAATTATCTGACAATAAGATAACTAAATGTTCACATGCAAACACGTTCTATTTTAGATTTTTTTTAAAAAAAAAAAGAAAAAAAAAAAAAAAGGAGAGAAATTTACAGTTTGCAAGAGAAAGAAGAAGAGTTTGTTTAACAATTAAAGAGCTTTTTATAATATGTCAAAGTCAAGAAATAAGAGAATAATATCTTCTCGTGAAACTACAAAAAAATAAAACAAAGATCAAAGAATTTTTTGTTTTTGTTTCAATTGTTGTAGTGAGAATTTGAACTATTCATTGATCATCACAACTAAATAATCTAAAAAAAAAAAAAAAAAAAAAAAAAAAAAAAAAAAAAAAAACTAAACAAATAAATATATTTCATAAAATTCAGCTAAGAATTATTCGAGAAATATCAAATTTGTATGTGTATCATCGATAATTGTCATCTAATTTAACATAAATGTTTCTGTAAAAAAAAAAACATCAAATATAACCTTACTATACCTTTTTAGAATTTATTCCCGCTTGGATGTCATTTTGAAATTGTATGGAATGAGGAATTTTCGTCCGATGCAGATGTAAGGCCGCATGAAATTTAAACAAAATCGAAATTAGCACAGGTGGGAAGGTATCATCGTTAAGGTAGTGGGAAGGTGTCACCGTACTTGAAGGTATGCTGTGTACTGTTTCGTGATATTCGGTACATTATTTCGATATTATAGAAGCCGGTTAAATACCGGATGATTGATTTATAACTCTTCCACAAATTATCTTTCATTCATTCACATATTTCATTCCGTCAGTTCACAGTTCTAACCAAATAGATTTAGCATATTTTATGTTTTTTTTTTTTTCCACATTTGCATTATGCAATTCACACTGATAAGTATTGTATATTTATCTTTTGAATTTCGATATAGTTTGGTTGTAGCTCATTCTGTCATTATTTTCATTACCTGCACAACTGTTTCATTGTAGGATCACCGGCTTGGCTCGATTTAGAATTTCCGGCTTGGCTCAACTTAGAATCTCTGGCTTGGCTCAATTTATTGCCTGATGTCGTGCATTCAGTTGCCTTTTTTTGTCGTCTATTATTTTTTTCTCACAGCAGTAGGCAGTCGTCTATTATCACATGTGATTGCATGCATTATGTTTTCCTGATTATACCCAATGAATTCTCATAGTTTTTGTTGCTTTCGATTTTTAGCCAAAGAATGAAATTTGTTATCGTTACCTAATGCTTTTATTTCTTACCATGTAGATGGTTTTCGTTTTGTATCATGCAAATTATCAAGAAATGCTGAGTATTCTTTAATAATTGTGCGTTTGATGGATCACATGACAAAAAAAAAACAGGCAAGATAACCAATTGACTGGTCAAACAGGCCAAATTTGTTATCTTGCATGTTTTTCATTTCCTTTATCTCTGATAAATTATGTATTTTACATAGAAATAGGTGTTGAACGGATGTAGTACTTTCCTTTTTTGATGACTCTTTTGTGGTAGTTTAAGGCGGGTTATTTGATGCTCTCTTCTTCGTTTCACTTTGCCGTTTCAGGGTTAATTAGTAATATTTTTAATCTTTATTACTGCGGAGTCGTATGATTCATGATGGCAGCCAATGAAAAAGAGGAAGACATAAAGGACAGTGATGAATGCGATATGATAAGTGATAGTGGTATATTTCATTTACTTTAACTTCTTCCATAAGTTAATGTGATTAAAGCCTAGAAATGGATTTTAACGGCTATAAAACTAAACTCTTGGGCTTTAGTTCTGTTGTTTCTTGGTTGAATTTTTTTTTTTTTTGTTTTTATTTAAACCTTTTCACTTGGTAAGCTTTTTTGATTTTGTCATCGTGCACAAGTGCTCAATTTCATAAATGATATTAAGGATCGAATAAAAGTAGATTTGATTAATGACAGAGAGGATATATTATTAACAGTATTGCCTCCAACTAATGTATGCTTCCATCAGACTTGGAATGTTGCAGTTTCGCTGGATGAATGGGACATAGGAAAGCAAGTATATTTTAATGATGTCATCATGCGCAAGGTGGTCAGTTTTGTGAATGATATTAAGGATCGACAAAATTTAGAACTTTCTAGCATAGCTATGAATGATCTTAGTTCTCGTGTTCCATATATCAGCTATAACAATGACAATAGTATTTTGGATATGTATTTTACGGTACGTTTTTTTTTATGTTATAAATGTTATGGAATTTCAGATATATATAATTTGTATCATTATGTTATTCTCTTTCAGAGACTTTTTTTTTTTTTGATATTAGTCATCATTGCACTTCGATTTTGATAAATTTCTACAGAGTTTTAAGAAAACTTGATCTAATTTATTAGTTTTTCAGAGAATCGAACCAGTGATGAACATAAGTGTTGCTGGTAACGATTTCAAGGTGATGGCATTAACATCTAGTGTTCGACGTACCTGTGTGGACAATCCGATATCTCAGTCAAATACATGCATCCTTAAAATGCAACATATTATCAGACGTTTCTCACGACAAATTCGTCGATTACATATTGGTGGCATTTCTGATTTCGAGCGTCGCCTAGGTTACATTCCAGATCATCAAGTATGAATTTGAACAATATTTGTTTTTCCTGTAATTGTTATCATTGATTTTTACTGGCTGTAGGCTATGTTTCCTTCATTTTATTTCCGGTTTATTTTTAGTTATTATTAACATTGCTAGCCTATTCAACTGACTGTTGGAACACAAAATGAATTTTCCATAGATTTTTCAAGAGTTTGTCCCTTCTGACAAAGGGAAGTAGTCACAAAAAAAAAATCCTTTAGGACATGGAAGATAGGCACAAGAGTTCTCATAAAAGTAAAGTAATACAGAAAGTTTTTTTTTTTTTTTTTTTCCCAATAAAGCTAAAGGAAATGAAATTTGCAGCAATGGTTCTTTAATGATTTATTTTGCTGCAAAATCATCGATTTGTTTTTTAGGTAATTTGTGCTCACTGAACACTAAATTCCTATTAAACTGCCAGCAACATATGGAGGATTCTTTAGGAATAGCATTAATGGTGTACATTATCATTCATCAATTATTTGCAGCTTGTGTTGAGTCGAGATCTTTGTAATGAGTTTGATCGATTGCAAAATGTGGACTCCCTGGTTCTTCGCAATCTTTGCCTGATGTCTCCAGTAATCGAGTATTGTAAGTTTTTTTTCAACATTCCCATTTCGTTAAATATTCATTGTCTCCATCTTCACATACTAAATTTTATTGTTTCAGGGAGCAGCAACGAATGCACCTTTACAAATCGAATTTCGAGTCTTTGTTTCCATAGTATTTGGTTTGATCATGCCGAAGATATCGACAATTTTGTGGTGAATTTCTTTGTTCTTTCTGCTTGTAGATAAATATGTAAAACCGCTTAGGTTTTCAGTGCTAAAACTTGAATTTACTAAAAAATTATGAATACATAGGACTAAGGGTTTTTTGGTTTAATTTATTTGTTATGTTTATGTAAACTGAATCAGGTGGCACTCTATAATATGAATTAAAATTAGGTAAAGTTATGTTGTCTATATATATGTATTTATTTATTTATTTATGCAATTACCTGGATGTAGTGATGATATTAATTATTTCAGTCGATAATATCTGGAAGCGTCAAAAAATTGTATCTTTCCGATTGCAGCGCGAAAACAATTTTGAATATAGGAGGACGGCTTCGTAATCTCCACAGTAAACTTGAAGTCCTTTATATTGCCATCGATCATCGAACGTTTCGAACTGTCGATCATGCACACCAATTGTTTAAAGTATTTTATTACATAAATGGATAACTGAATGAATATACGCAATGGTTGAAAAAAATCTTATTGAACAAAAAAAGGACCAAAACTTTCCACTAGTAATGCTAAATATTTTGCTTTTCAGGAAATATCTGATTTAACCGACAAGTTGCATATTTGTGCCTGTTTCTCGCGTTTTGTCTACCAACCTGGTTTCCGAATACTTGTGAGTGTCATCTCTTTATTGCCTGAATTCCATCAAATAACTACGGTAGAATTGGATTTGGGGCCTTTGCGAAAGAATATGCGAACCTATGATCAGTTTTTTACTGGTAGTTTATTGTCTTCTATCTTTTCTTCGTTCTTGATAACATTGTGATGAGACATCGTTAGACTGGCTTCTTATGACAATCAATCCAACATGTGGTTTGCAAAATCGTTGGTTGCATATTTTGTTAAACAAATTGTAGGTGAATTTTATTTATTTCAGTTTATTTGATTTACGATTAAGAAACTAAAATTTGAGATGCTTATACGTTTTGCTATATATTAGGACATTGTTTCATTTCTAATCAATATGTATTTTAGATTAATTATTTCAGGTCTACCTCAAATGTCACAGCTACGTGTTCTGCGCTTATTTGGCTTTCCGATTAATTATGGCTGCATGGATCTTTGGAAGGCAATATTGCGGTCTGTCGCACAGTTATCACAGATTACTGAATTTTCAGTAATCAATTTGCTAAGAAATATTCGAACCGATGAATTGAAGGCTTTCTGCGGCTCGCTGCCTGCTAATTTGAGCACGTTCGCGCTCCATCACGTTCACCAGTTGCAAGACGACCACTTTAGCCTTATCGCTCAGGTATATTTCTTATGACTTCTATGGAAAACTTTTTGAATTGCAAAGCATAATTTCTTTTTTTTTTTTGGATCACTATATTTTTCAAGATTTTTGGTATACTAGGAAGTTCAAGGACGAAACAGTCCAAGAAGAAAGAGAATTATTTAACTGGTCATTTTATTATATATAAAGCAGAGTAAAATAAACGAAAGTTACAGCGTTGTCCTCGATTGGACACGTTATATGTTCGTGACCTGCGATCAGTAACATCAGAGGGCATAATGAAAGCTCTGATGGAGTTCCGAATGTTAACTAAGATAGCGGTATGTCATTCGGGTCCAGTTACAAAGGAAGCCTACGAATTACTGGCCAATCGTGAAGCTATGCCTCATATTGAAGCTGTCATTTTGGGTGGTAATCGAGACCATCAGAGCGGTAGTAAGTCTTCGATTTTGTTAAAGATATATATGGATAAAATATCTTCTTTATAGTCTAAGCTCTACCATTTCTAATTCGTCACTGTTAGGTTATGAGTTAATGCTATAAATGACATAAGCATTGTTTCAGCCGTCTTGGATGCTCTGTTGCGTCGACTGCCACAATTCCGCGTGATGGGCACATGGAATCGATGGCGTGATTGTGAGTACCATCTGTGGCGTAGTAATAAGGCATACAAAGAGTTACTGGACGCGTCATGCTACGCTGATTGTCCAGGATGCGGCAAAGACGTGAGCCTGATTGATGATGATGATGACATCCCGTAGAGCTTGTCATCCCAGTTCATACGATTTGTAAATAGTTTATGGCCAAATATATAATGATATTATCTGTATAAAAGATCTATTTATTGTTCACTGAGTGATACCACGTGTCCACTTTAGGTTCTATTTATTTAAGAAGCATCTTTACCTTATATTGTTTGTATCTTCATCATTTCAGACGGGTTTGGACATATTTATTGCTATATGGAATTAGGACATGGCTACAGGTGGGAAGACAAGTCTCCTTTTTTCTCCCTTTCTTGAAAAGATATTTCATGTTATGTTTTCCTTTGTGCGCACAGTGGGGAAAAGCAAAAGTAAGTGGCTTTATTTTTGAAAACATTCATTAGTATATGGCTTTAAATAAATATATGACTCGCAATGGAGGGTAAAGCAGGTCCTAACGAGGCGTAAAAGCCCAACATCAGTATATTATTAATGAGTTATTGTATCAGCTCATTAATACTTTTATTACTGATAAATTAATGTGCAAAGTGCTGTTTCCAAATCGAAGCTTATGTTTTTGTCGCTTTATATTTCAACTGAGATGTAAATACTGGTTTTTTTTTCTGCTCGTTTTTACAGCAAACTTTATTTGATTAGTCACTGTATTTCGGATCTCTCCAAAATAAATAGTAAGCTGAATGCATCTGTTATCGTTTATTAGCGACTTTGTATTTAGAAAGCAATCTGCGAGTACAAAAAGACAACCATAAAAGCTTGAATCCAATCTAACAGGGTCTTCAAAAAAATTTAACTCCGATTAAACGTTTTTTTCCCAGCTTATTAGCCATTTAAACTTCAAATGATGTACTGAACGGTGACATGGAAGTCCCTACCACTCAACGATTGTACTGCGGCAACTTTTGCAACTATTAATGTGCATTAGCTTATTATAATGAGTATAACGACCAAAACATCACATTTAATGGCCTGCCGTCTAAAATAACACTAAAAAAAATGAAATATATATGAGAAATATAAGATAGCACCGAAGAGTGATCTTAAAATTCCAATGTTCAAAATTACTTGAGAGAAACATGCCAGACAGAAGGTCAAACGAAGAAAAGAATAGTTTTGGTAAATGGTTATGATGAATCCTACATGTGTACATATGATTCGAGAACTAGAGACAAATAATAACTAGTACTTCCAGATATCCTCACCCTCCGGTATTTCAGCAATTCGATCTGCAAACATCTTGCTTTGTCCTTTCATCATGCTTGCTTTATACATACCTTGCCGATCGAAGCAGTAACCTGAAATAATTTTCCAGTTAATTTGTTTTCTCCAGACACTAATATATTCCTTTCTATATTTCATCTTTCTTGCTTCGCATTAACATTGGAACCTTGGAATTTGAAATTAATCTAATGTCTATATTATGTCTGGAAACTGGCGATCCTAACTGTGACTTTTTCGTCAAATGACTTCTACGCGTTAGTTCTCTTTTATGTAAAGGGGTAAGAGAAAAGGGAAGCAATACGAAGTAGCTCATCTACTCAGAAGCAATATCTTCCTCTTCGTAAATAAATTTTTTATTCTTTCTTCTTGTAAACTCAATGACGCAAATCGCTTAATTTGATAGGAGATGGCATCATTGTCACCTTCAGCACGAAGACCGAAGAATTTTACTAATTTGTTCGAAAAAGTGGAGTAAAAAACTGAAAGGTGTTTCTTTCTTAGAAGCATTACTTCGTTTAACTGACTAAAAATGTAATAAAGAGACGAATGAACTTCAAGGAATTATATGATGGAAATTAGTTTTATCTAATAGACAAGTGAAGGGAAACTCGTGAGGGAAACAGGAAACTGCCTAATAAAAATAAAAGAACTGTATGAAGTCGGACAAATGGAAAATATCCAGGAGATTGACTGTGTCGGCCTCGAAATCAAAGTATGAATTTGAAAGCAACAGAAAAATAACCCAGGCATTATTAAACGAGTGATCATTGGCATGGAAAAAATCAAACAGCGGGAAGAGTAGTCTCACCGAGATACGCCATTACAGCTACCGATGCCCACAGTGTTTTCTTCTCCCAAATTGCTTTCTTGAAAAAGTACTTCAGTGTAAATGTTCCCATTTATAGATGACTGACTGTTTGACTGAATAAGAAAGTGACCTGAAATACATGATTTGAAAACATAAAGTATCAAACCTAAATTATCTCACTGGTATTCTCGTCACGCATTGCGTCAAGAACCGTCACATGTCCTTTTGCCCTTAAGCTTTTCATAGTACGCCAGTCGGAAATTATAAATGTTGCGGCCAATACGGGCCAAATCCATACAGCTATCACTCGCTTAACAGGAAATCGAAACATCTAGAAATAATTAAAAGATTTAAAATTAACCTTGAGAAGCAAACTATTTAACGGGAGCAAACCTCTTCAATAAGTTTTGGTAAACCGGACTGTCTAAAGTTAAACTACACCATTTAAGACTGTCCGGGAAATCAAACAAATTCAACAACTCTACCATCTAACTAGATTAGTCCAAAACTTCCAGAAAAAAAAAAACATTCATAACAGTACGGAATCACAGTTATCTTCGGGTTATGCGTAATTTAAACTTTTCACAGTCATCAAGTGCACACCGTACAATCCGGCAATACCGTCCAGCGCAAAATACTTTAGCGGTAAGACGCCGAGAGCCGTCAATTACTGAGTTTCATGCCGGTCTGTCCTGGACGGAACGAATAACAATTCGCGGTTTTCTGTCGACCAAGATGTAGAGCCGGTAAGTCCGGGATGTCTTAAAAGCGTGTAACGATGAATCCGGACAATTGCTCTGGCATTGATGAGTTCCTGAAGTGGGATCGATACCGGTTGATGACTTCTCCCTGTTTGGTGTCTAATAATCATCGAAAAAAATGTGTAATTTGTTGATCTGGGGAAGTGGACAGAAATTGTAATCCAAGTACAAATGTTGTTTTATGGTAAAGGAGACAAATTACGAGACTTTTCACCCCTGAATTTCTATGTAAATTGATTTAAACATTGGACGATCCCGTAAGACTTCCAAAAATGCAATATTCATTGACAAATTCTACCAAATAATAAAGGAAAGCAGCAAATGAAAATTTCAGGTATTTATGACTGATAGCTTCACATCTTCTACATCAGTGGATGGCAGTGAGGAACATTTGGTAGAGACGCTTATGTCGCAAGTTGACGATGAAGATATTACCACAATCATAGGGTTGCAGAAGAAATCGTAAGATTTTTCCCTTCATTTTTTTATAATTTATTATATAATTAGCAAAAGAATGTCCTAAAGATGCATGACGTATTGTAGTTATGCATGATTCATCATATGCAAAAAGTTTTTCGTTTCTTTTTTTTCAAGTCTTTAGCAGGAAATTTATAAATATATACTTTATGTTAACACGAAGAAACATAATTTCGCATGTAATTATACCATTCCTTTTACAATATTAAAAGTATCGAGTATTTAATGATCGATTTTACAAATACAAGGATTCTCGTTTATAGTTTTCAGGTTAGCACAATTCGAGAAAACCAATGAAATGCTAACAAACTGCTGTATATTGTCAGCTAGCAGACTTGAAAAAGCACGAAAAGATTTGGCCGAAAACAGACAATTAATACTGGAGATGAAGTCTGACTTGGAATCTGTTTTTCGTCGAATACGCACCTTTAAGCAGAATTATATTACGAAATATGCTGATGTTTATAAACACTTCGGTGTGTTTGTTAATAATGTTTAATAGAGCAATCAATTATTGACTGTCCGTTAAATATGTAAAAATGTTAGCAAACTATATCCTTTTCATTGCATTCAATTATGTTTTAGTATCTGTAGGTAAAATATTTTGATTGTACAAAATTATTTAAAACTGTCATTCCAATTAATGATTTTCTGACATTGTCGTTTGTTGTACTTTCAGAGCAACAGTATCGTGATGAAGAAAAAGATGAGTAGGATAGGCATATCAGTCTCATCCGAATCTATCTAAAGACTAGCAAGCTTGATGATATATCCGACTTTTGTGTGTAATAAACGACCTCCACTCAATTTCTACGAGTGGGTGAAGTAATGCATTTATAAGATCTCCATTAAAGGTAGAGATGAAAGATTACTTCACTTCATTATTATTTTTGCTCTTTTACTTCAAAAATGTATATATTATGTATAGAGAAAGCGTAAGATTGTATACACTTCAGTTTCAGTTTGTCCTTTATCTTTTTCTTCACGTTAGTTTTGAGCACTTAAGACTGTTGAAATAATTTATTTTTTCAAATAAATACAGCCCGAAATACAAATTCTCATCAATTACTGATTAGTAAGTTAAGAACTATAAACATTTAGTTCCAGTTTTCGTTTTTAAGTTTGATGGCAATACAGTCGATGATTCAGGGCGCTTCTCTCTCTTTTTCTTGATCTTATGCTTTGTCGAACTACTATGAGTCCTTTTTCGCCTTTTATGGTGTTTGTGATGATTATGTTTCTCGCTTCTTCGTTTCATCTTCTGTTTATTTTCTGTAAAGATCAAATTTTCCTGTTTCTTAAGGGAAGGAAGGTAAATCTTTCATGTAAATCATTCTTATCCGTTTACTAACTTTGCTAGACGCAGAATTTGTAGACCAAGAAAATAGCCAACATTACATTTCCATTCTAAGTGGCCTCATATTACATTTTCAAGATTGTAGTTAGATAAGTAAAGTATGATACCAGGTTCATACCTTTAGCAGTAAGTGGCGTTTCGTAGTCAGATTCTGAACTTGTGGAAGAGATATTTGCACAGCTTTCTTCTTTAGGTCGCAGAAAATTGTAACATTGAAACGGAAGATGGCCTGGATAACCACATTTTCGACAAGCAATTTTTGTCGTTTTTTGGATTTTCATTCCACCATACATATCTGTTGCAATACAACTTTTCTTTTTTGCTTTGTTTCAAATTAATATAAGTCACTTCATTTATCCCAGATTTGAGAATATCAATAAGAAATGGTAGCAGCTTTGATAACTTCCGTTATTACAGTAGTGACAACTTACCCATAGAAATAGCCGAGCTTCCTAGTTGCTCAGATAGGTTCGGTAATTGTCTGTATTCCCAACTGCTCATATGGATATACGAAAGAATATGGTTATTCGGAAGGAGAGTGTCGAATATTCAAGAAGCTGAAAGAATGATATGTTTGCATCTGCAGCAATCCTTTAAGTATCCATAACATATCAGATCGAGAAAGTTCCAGCAACCACTCCAATATTGATCCGTCTCTCCTATATATCAGATTGACTTCATATTTTTGTTTTATATATTAAAATATCTCCCGACATAAGTTATAGAATGTGGTAGATTTCTCTAATTCATCCTCTCGCAACAGAACGAAAGATGAGAGGTAACAGTGTAAATAAACAAAAAAAAATAAGATATAGACAATCTAAATGAAACATTTTACTGGAAATTATGAATTTAAGAGAAAAATTTTTTTCTTTTCAAAGTTGAAAAACATGTTGAGGAAATTCTAATCTTAATAAGCCAAAACGATATTTGTCACTTTTTGAAAGAAGGTGAAAAAGCTAGTGAATAGATGAACAACAGCGTAGTACTGAATTTCAGAATAGACAAGAATAATCCCCAACAAACATGGGAAGATTGCTACCCACCCATCACTAATGTTTGCTACCCGACCACATCCATGTTTTGGTTCATTTCAATTTCATGCAAAGCGGTATTTTGCAGTGGACCGTCTTTTCATGAAGGGTTCGTCCGTTCACAATGTGTCACCAACAATATTTTCAATGAAAAAGAGAAGTCGCAGATATTCCAATGATTCTTCAAATAATATCAGCCAGGCAATTGTTGCTTGAAGTAATCATATAACTTGATTAGTTTTTTTTTTTTGAGTGCATTGAATTTTATCCTTAAAATATGGAGAACACTTGTATGGATGGTTCATAAAGTTTTCTTCAAAACTTTGCAAATATGCGGGATTTTTCAAAGACTTACAAATTGATCAAGGTATTCCTTATTATTTCACGCTAAATAGTTTGCTATCACTGCAATAATTAGCATTTTGTTGTTTTCATATATATATATATATATATATATATATATATATATATATATATATTTGTTGTAATAGTGCAAAGATAATGATAAAATTTTCTTCTGAATTACTTATTTTGCACTTTTACATGTTAGCAAAATTTGAATCTGTAAAAAGTTGATAAACTTGATAGAAAACATAAAATGAAATATCCTTTTGTTTTAAGTTATATACAAAAGAGAGAAGAAGCATTAACAAAAAGAATGAATGACGTCGGAATATTTCTTCCCTTATTTTTTTTTTCCTAGCTAATTCAATAATAATTGCGATTTATATGACAAACTATTACTTCTCTTTCGCATAATTAATGTGCCTTAGATTTTGCAGCTTCAAAGTGTACAAATGTTAAATAATGTTAAATTTTTTATCAGATAAAAAGTTATTCATCATAAAATGTTTCTCGTTAGAAAAATGAAGGAAGATACAATCGTGATAACTAATTAAATGAAATCATAATCGATTAATTAGGCAATGAAAGAAGCAAAAAGGGAAGTTTTTCGAATTATTGTAGAAAGTAGCTGACAAATTTTAAAATCTGCCTAGGAAATTTGAGAATTTAAGTACACGAACTTTACAATGATTGAAACAGTTAGACAAAATTTGGTTATCAAAAATATGTTATGGAATTATTAGTTTATAATACTCTCATTGATTGAATTCATTCATTTAAAATCTCGGATTACTGCTCGTTTCGTAAAACTATTTCCGGAATATGAAACAGTTTTCATTAGTTGACATAATTACTCAGTTTCTCAATATCAATAGCATTTCAGCCATCATCTCTTCCGGTACCAATTTGATTTCGATGTTGACAACTCTCGGTTGCCTCGTTGACAATTTTGCTTCTGATTACAATAAAATCTACCAATGATTTTACCACAAATGCTGGAAAAATTTTCAGCAATGACTCATTATTTATTTATTATAACCTCTTTGCTTTCTTTTTAGCACAAATTATCAGTGTGTAACAGTTCTGTCACCGTCATTATTAGTGTCACAGAAATGGCTTATGTTCGAAATATTGTAAAATGTACGTGAAAAAAAAAAAAAAAAAAATTACGTAAAGTTTCAAATGAGTAAAATCTTCACTCATTACTATACATTCTTGAAACAAAAAAAAAAAAAAAAAAATCAGAATTTATTAATGTCATCCAAAAGAATTGTCACAATGAATGAATGAGTTAATGTTATCACTGAAAAGGAAAAAAAAAATGAGAGAAAATGTTAGCTGAAAAAAATTCAATGATAAATCTTTTCTTTATATTACAAAAAAACAATGCTAAAATATCAGATAACTTTAGATCAATCAAACATATTTGATGGTTATCTTTCCTTTTTTCTATTCATTCAAATTTATTAGTATTCATTCATTATCAAAAATCTCACCTAAATTCATTATTTACACTTTTTGTTTTATTCAAATTTATCAATTTCCAAACATATTTATCAATATTTTATACAATAAAATAAAAATAATACTTAATTGATTTCCATCACAATTATAAATTGAATTTATTAAAGCAAAATTTTGCATGGAATTTATTACTCGAATTGATCACTGATGCTGGTACTAAGTAGAAAAAATGAAATGAAGTTAATTAATCAGTGATAAGAAAGATCGATCATAGAACATCTATCAGAGATCAACTGGACAATCTTCTTCTTTCTCCCGGATAATGAAACTTACAGTTTATCGGATAGCTGCTGTAAAACAAAAAAAAAAAAAGAAACAGAGAGATGTCTTGGTAAATGATCTCGGAATGAATAAATATAAGTGCTTCACTGTTCTCGGATGTATAATCAGTAAAAGGTTACTTATCATTTCTTAGATCTAAGTTGAATGCTACAGAAATTTTTCCGGAATAAATAGTTACTTTTCTGTTCCGTATCGGAACGTGTATTCGGGAAATATCAGAAAATAGAGGCAAGAATAGTTTGTTTCATAAGCATATTTATTTATTTTTATTTTTTTTTTGATTTTTCGATTTTTCATGATAATTATTTTCCTTTAAGTTCTAACAAAATTTAATTTTCAAGGTATGGCGGATTTAGTGCCGGGAACTTCTTCCGATGATACATTTTCACAAGATGATACTGATCCTGAATTGATATTTCTTGATTTTAGCCGTAGTTTAGAGTAAGTGAATTGTACAAAGTGAATTACGCTTAAGTGATTTCAGCTATTTAAACGTAATCATTTTCCACTTATTTTCATTCCACGTAAATGTAATGAAGCATAATTTGTGTAACTTTCTTTTTTTTTTCAATACAATAATGTGCATTTTTTCTTTGTGAAATATTAAAAATTGTTCACTTACGTAAATTATATCAGAAAATTGTTCACTTACGTAAATTATATTAAAAAATTGTTCACTTACGTAAATTATATCAGAAAATTGTTCACTTACGTAAATTATATTAGAAAATTGTTCACTTACGTAAATTATATCAGAAAATTGTTCACTTACGTAAATTATATCAGAAAATTGTTCACTTACGTAAATTGTATTAGAAAATTGTTCACTTACGTAAATTATATCACTAACCAAACGTTTTTTCGATTACACAATATTGTAATCAAATTTTTCATATTTATTCATTGATATCATTTTTTTTTTTCTATTTTTAGCAGATTAGCTACTTGCGGTGATTATGGCTTCATCGTGTATAAAACGAGAGATTATGAAACGCCGCATATTATTTATGAAATGTGCAGACGTCCGCTACAGAAACGCTATTTGACGTGTAAGTCAGATATACTGATAACATAAGTATACTGATAACATAAGTTACTGATAACATGAGTATACTGATGACATAAGTATACTGATAACATAAGTTACTGATAACATAAGTATACTGATAACATAAGTTACTGATAACATGAGTATACTGATAACATAAGTATACGGATAACATAAGTATACTGATAACATAAGTTACTGATAACATAAGTATACTGATAACATAAGTAATTGTTATGAAGCGAAATTATCACGTAATATCTTCCATATTCATATCATAATTCATTCCGGAATTTAAAAATTACAGTTGTGAATGATGTGATCTTAGTTGAATGCTTTTCACCGATACATAAATATGCTGTGGTATTAGGCAAACATCCGCATACATTGCATTTCTATGACGCATCGATAAGTTCTTGCACCGGTAAAAGTCATTTTCCGGAACGAATCCTAAGCGTACGCTCATGCTCAACGGTAGTTAGCTAAGCTTTCAACTCAATTCAATTCAATTTAAATATAAATGTAAAATTATGAATGAAAATATATATTTATCATCGATTTGTCAGAATTTCTCAAATAATTTCATCAATTGTTGATAATATCAAAAAAAATTTCCATTTTTTTTCTTCAAAACATAATATTGTATTAGCAAATGGAAGATAAAAGGATAATTAAGGTATTTTGATTAATTGTAAGGTAATTTTGATTAATTGTAGGGTAATTTTGATTAATTGTAGGATAATTTTGGTTAATTGTAGAGATAATTAAGATATTTTGAATTTTGGTTAATTGTGGGATATACCATAAAATATTCAACATCTATCTCTGTGATATACGATACATTATTAAGTTTAGAAAAAAGTTTTTTATGTAAAAGTTACATGTAGAAGTTAAATTGATCTCTTCTTTTTACATCTATTTTCCGTTCATAAATTCGTTTTGAAGGTAATAGCTGTCGGACTTGAAAACGAAATACAATGTTTTTGCATATATATGGTAAGTTAATTTTATTTCTTTACAAATAGTTAATTATTCCTTTCATTTCATTTCCTATCAATAAGATAAAGTAACATACAATTTGAACTGAAAACACCAATGACCAAATGACCGGAAAATAGAAAATCGGAAGATTAGTATGAAGTAAGAAAATAGCATTTGTATGAGAATGAGACATTCTTTTGACATCATTTACATTTCAGGAAAACTATGAAAATCTTGAAAGTTATATTAGAGTTGTAAAACTTCCTTCTCCAACCAGCTTTTCGTTACTTATGGATTTAACCGGTGAGGAAAGACCTCATTTGGCTTATCCGGATTCTACTACTACAGGCCTTGGTGTGTTATGGAATTTCCAAAAAAGAAAAAAAAAGTTGTTAATTAGAGTTTTATTTTATAATAGTTAAGAATGGAAAGTTAAAAATTTTGTCATTTCAATTTTTTACATTTTAAGCTTACTTAAGTCTTTGAGATAGCTGATATAACAATGCAATATTCAAAATTATTCGCTTTCTTATCACTCACCAATTTAATCGAAAAATTTATGACATTTAAATAATATATTTTGTGTTCATAGCTTAAAGACATTAAAAAAAGAGAAGCAAATTAATGATAAGCTATCATATCATATGAACTGATAACAAGTAATATTGTTTACTTATTTATTATGTTTTATTTAGTTGCTGTACACGATATTTGCGCCTGGACACATTCTAAAAAATTGATAAATGCGCATAATCATCCAATTGCCGCCTTACGTTTCAACGACGATGCTACGTTGCTTGCAACAGCATCAAACATTGCCACAGTGATTCGTGTCTATGCGGTCCGCAAGCAAGAATGTCTCTTTGTGTTCCGTCGAGGATTAGCTCGGTAATTTGTACCGCTTCTAATTAATCATAAGTTATCATATCATATCATATCAATTGATAACGAAACACTTGATAATTTCAAATTCTTCTGAAACATTAATTGTATACCAATCCTAAATTTATTTCTCTCTAAACCACAAATGCCAAAATTTATCAGTCGCAGAAACAATCCGCTAATGAACAATCATTCATCATCAATCGATTAAACTGAGATCACTTTAAACGGTTGATTATGATAATTCAATTATCGTTAATCATGTTAAAATGGCTAATTAATGACCTGAAATTTGAATTCTTAAACGGAAATGAAAACTTCGGAAGTTAATAAATCATAATGTATCTCTTAGATGCATGCAATTTATACTAACCGGATTTGTCCTGATATCTTCAGGACTGTAACCGTAAATTCAATGGCATTTAGTGCTGATTCGAGATTTCTTTGTTTGACCAGTAATACGGAAACCATTCATGTATTCAAACTGGAAGGAACTTTACCAAAATTTCTCCATCTGGAAGATGAATTATTGCAGAAGTCGTTGTTAGTTTTACTTTACAGAATAATGAATAATTGATAATGAAATGAAATTGAATACTAAAAATTTAAATCAAATTTTCATGTTTGCCACTGAAATAGTTTTATTATCTAATATAATTTTACTGTAACAAATGATCCAATTCGAATTATTAATTTTTATTTTGCAGTAAATTTATTTATTTTAAGTTTTAAATTTATGATAGCTTAACATTTGCATACTTTGCAGGGAACAGTCAATGCCGCCTCAGCCAGTTGGATGGTACGACTATTTGGCTGGACCTACTCGTGCTGCTACAGAATATTTGGCACCAGCACGTGATTTTGCTTCAGCAACTTTACCGGAAATTGGAAACGTGAATATAGCTTGTTTAAAAAAGTATGCTTAAAAAGTTTTATTGCATTTGAATATATGTCATAGTTAAAAATTTCAATTGGCTTTTAAATCATTCAAATAATTTTTCAATTCGGAATATTCTATCACATTTTCAGGATTAATGGTAAATTGCATATATTAGCGGCTATTTCTTCCAGAAAATTTTTCGCATTTTTAGTTAACGAAGAAGAAGGAGGGCCTTGCACTTTAGTAAATAGTGGAAAGCTTATTTCTAAAGTATGCTTTCATCTAATTTAAATGTGAAATGTTACATCGAAGCATTCATTTAAACTAATTTAACTAATTTGAATAAATATTTCATTCAAAATCAAAATTCTTAAATCTTATCATACATTCTTAGACAGTGAAGGAAGAATGCTAATTGAGTACTAATTAATTAATTCTCAAAAAAGAAAAGAATGTTTAATGCTTTTTTTTTTTTTGAAAAGATAAGAATTAAATGAAAAGAAATGTTAAGTAAAAAGTTCTAAAATATTTTTCAAATTTTTTTTTCCTTTCTTTTTTGCTAGACAGAAGATGATGTCTTTCAGGTGACATTATAAGGTGACAATGATTCGAGTGAAATTGTCAGAAGTGTTGAAAGTTTAATGATTAGCCAGTACCACATGTCTTTTTTTTTAAATGATCTGTAAAAATCTCGAAATTTTCAATATCAATTATTGATTTGCTGTCTAATTTGTCTTGAGATCAACTATAGCAGAAATTTAAAGACTATTTAATGGTGACAAATTAGATTATTCGATGGTGACAATTTATCAATGCATCACTTCTCAGTGCATCAGTAATATTTCTTATATTTCAAGCAAATTTATTCCGTTCTATGATCACAACCGTATACATATACCTGTCCTAAGGTATACCTGCAAGGTATATCCTGAAAATTTTTCCCTCTGGATAGCACAATTGATAATATTCAATGTTTCTCGCCATGAAATATGTGTGTCCTTCAGATTATCGAATAATGATTTAGCTACTCTCAGAAATTTTGCTGCTTTCCCATATCATTTTTTATCTGATTATTTTAGCTATAAATATTGCAATGAATTGTGATAAGTTTCATTTTTTTTTTTTTTGGTTAAATTCTCTTACGTCTTTTTTAAATAGCATATTTCTGGATAATTACTTTATTTATTGGTTTCACTCTCCTTTTTTCATTAATATGGGAGTTTTATTAAAATTGTTTCATTCGTAATCATTGAATTTGCCAGAAAGACGGATCATATACAATTAGTTCAGACAACATATGTATCATTCCTTGTCAACTATAACTACCAATCATCAAAATTATCAACCTTGGATCATCATTCTCCGAACATTCACCTTGTTTTGTCTTTGAGGTTGAAGATAACGTAATGAAGAAATACTTGTCCACCAATTTAAAATATTTTTCAACCTATTAAATAGTTAGCAGGAAGAAACCAATTCTATAACAGCAAGACTCATCTAGTGTAACATGTGCTTTGAATGCCATCACCTTCAGAGAATTTCAAAATGTGGAAAATTAAAAGGCTCAAATTGAATCAGGCAGAAAATCAATCTTTGTTGAAAACTATTAAATGATTTCGAGTTATATAAGTTAATCATGGTTGTACAAGTTAATCATCTGTGCATTTATTTCGTTTCAAATCTTAATCTAAAAAAAAAAAAAAAAATTCAGCTCAGTTTTTATGAAATTCCCAATGATATAAGCAAGCACCGAATACAGATAAAACATAAATCAAAATCTATGAAGAAGAAATTATTCCTTCGAAATAATTCTATTAATGTCTTTTTCAAACATCTGTACATACTGCTTATTATTAAACCAATATTTTTAATCTTATAACTGATAAAATAACTAAATGCGACATATGAACACTAGAACGTATAGTTCAACGAAGTATTAATTTAAACCATGATAACATCAACAATTAAAACCACTCTTAAACTTCTCACTGTTGGGATGAGATTCAAAAGACAGATGTAATAAAACCGAAACGATCACATATTACATAAAACAAGGGACTTAAAGCATTTGTTACCTAAAGTACTTCCTATTTTATTAACATCAAATTAGCTTAAATATATTAATTTTAGAAATTTTGATACCTATGTGGATGAGATAGGAAATTCACACTACTTTGAAGGATTTTGATTTAAATTAAGCAAACATTATCTGAATCCATTCTGAAGCATTCATAACAAATACAAACTATATAATAATACAAAGTATGACATACAACCTTACTTTACATTTTAAGTGCCTTCTCTCAGCTATATGAAAATGCAAAAGAAAAAAAAAAAATGTATTAAAGATAATGAGAGATCAACAGCAACAACGATATCATTTACATCATAATATCTTCCATTTCGCGCTATTTGATCGTGAGAATGCATTCTGCCAAACAAATACTACAAGAGAAAGAAATGAGAAAAGAGTCACAGGCGTCCCTGAAATTCAAAAAAGATTTACTACAGTTTTAAGAAAAAAACAAAAATATATATGACAAAAATGTGTATTTTCTGACATCAATTCAAAACTTTATAACATGTTTCTAAATTGCGGTATAAGCTACAATCTATAGTGCTACTATTTTGTTATGTAAAAGGTCCTACCTTCAGTAATGTTATTACCATTAATCGGCACCGAAAAATTAGGAATATAGAGCAGAAAGTTGAATGGCCAAAAATACGTAGAATTAATATATCCAATTATAATATTACGAGAATAAAACATTAGCAAAACGGCTGTCAATTGCACGAATATTCCACTAACAACCAATGACAGTGTAGATGCTATGCCAGAATTTTTCTCGCGTTCCATAACTGTCAATAACTGAGATAAGTAAATTATTAAAGTAGCGATTAATTGAGGTAAAAAAAAAAAAATTATTAAAGTTAAAGTAAAAAAAAATATTAAAGTTTTTGCTTCAACTAAATCCACATATAATTCTCGAAAAGTCAACCCGTTCGCAGCTGCAGTTATTCTGCTGGTTCTAAATAGCACTTGAGTTACTTAAATTTAAATAGTATTATTGAATTTGTTCTACAGTTGTAATCATGCGGGGCTATTAAATTTCAGCTAAAGAAAAAGTATGCTTCATCAGGAAGAGGCTTACTTAAAGCACTCAGTTCAGCCGATAACTGATTCAAAACTCGTTCCTTTCTAAAATAGGCAGCAAACTGAGCTGTTGGTGAAAGTGCACCCATTTCTGATTTTATTTGCTTCACCTCCAAAGCCAAAGTCTCAATTCGATGATCCATTTCATTACGGTAAATCCTTCGAGGTAGCAAACGTTTCAACTAAAAAAATAAGAACTAAAATCTTCCTGATACTGTTCTGAAACTTTAATCGATTCTTCTTCATTTAGCTAGCAGTTTACAAATCATATTTTAAAGATAACCTCTAAATAAAAAGCTAGCCTTTGTTGCAAGCCACTGTGTTAATATCATCCAATACGCAAATGTAAATACTGCAACAAAGCATGCCAAAACACCAAATTTGTTAGCAATCAATTGAATTACTATATCATCGATTGCAAAGCAAGCCATATAATCTGCAAACAGAACATTTTCGATCGTTTTACTCTACTTCGCATAATGTAAAAATCAATCATTTTCTGAAATGATAACAAAAAATGAGGAATTGCTCGAAATTATTGTAAAAGTATTCCCATCTATTTCATTATTTCCACAATTCTGACAAACAGCTTTGAAATCATTTAAATCGTATGCATTTCTGTTTTCTTGCCTCCCTGCTTCTCCGCATCGTACTCACAATAATCGCTAAATCAATAAGCTCGTCACTAATCAAAAATGGAATCTGTCAAGTATCATTGCTTGTAACAAATTCCCGAAACACTTCCTTCCGGAACCCTTCAAATCCGGCTGACCATACCACATGAACACCCAAATCTACAATATCCGATGCTACAGTTTCAGAAATGAGAAGTTACCATTAATACGGCCGCGATATGTATATAAGCGATCCCATGAAATTAAAAAATAAGAAAAACAAACATATGAATATGTATTCGCTACAACTGTACTTCTTATCAGTGAACATTTTTCTTGATAAAATTGATATCAGTTGAGAGTAATATTCACCTATTGGTGCATCATATTTTAATAATTATAATTCCCGAATTGATCTTTCAGTAACAGTTAATTTTCTCATCTTTATCTTCTAAATTATTTCTCTTCTCTGACAAAATTCATGGCTATTTTTACTGATATGATATACTATGATAACATCATATGTAATCCTTTCTTCATACAAACATTTTCTTTTATCAGCGAATAAATTTGTTTAGCAAAAAATAATAAAAACTTTTGCAATTAAGAAAGTTTATGATAGAAAACAAAAATTGATTCTATGATAAACTATAATGGTCTTATTGCCATGCTGAAAATAAATTTTAATAATTTTAGTATCTTTCTATGTGTGTATTGCTTTTTTTTCTTAAATTTTATTTTTTTTTTTCATTCTTTCATTTTATCATTTCTTTTCTTTTTTTTTTTAAATGAAAATAAAATGAAAGTAAAATGGAAATAAATTAATTTCTAATTAATTTCTATCAGTGTTATGCTGAATATTTCTTTGCCTTACGCTCAAATGTTTACTTTTTACAATAACAATTGCAATTGCAAATTTTTATTATCGAATTCATATTAAATTCATTGCTCATTTTCATTTGCCGAATATTCCTACTGAAATTTACCTTTACCTGAAATTTACCTGAAAATCACAACATCATTTACCCTCCGTTAATATACGCTTGTCAAGGTCACGTAATCTACATAATTTGCACGCAAAATATTTTTCTTTTAGCAAGGTCACGTAATTTGCACGCAAAATATTTTTCTTTTAGCAAGGTCACGTAATCTGCATGCAAAATATTTTTCTTTTAGCAAGGTCACGTAATCTGCAAGCAAAATATTTTTCTTTTAGCAAGGTCACGTAATCTGCAAGCAAAATATTTTTCTTTTAGCAAGGTCACGTAATCTGCAAGCAAAATATTTTTCTTTTAGCAAGGTCACGTAATCTGCAAGCAAAATATTTTTCTTTTAGCAAGGTCACGTAATCTGCAAGCAAAATATTTTCAATTACTTACTTTATTTTGCATAAATTAATAATTAATTCGTTTTTCACATTAGACAATTATAAGAGAAAAAAAGTACTTGAAATCCTTCTTACCTATTTGTAAATCGATTAATATAATATTTATGCAAACAAATAACAGATATAGGTACAGGTGCTGGTACAGGTACAGGTACAGGTACAGGTGCAGGTACAGGTGCAGGTACAGGTACATATATTGAGTTGTAATGATTTGATAAAGGAGCTAAATTGGTGGATGAGAAAAAAATGTTTTAATTTCAAATGTTTCATATGCTGAACAATGACACTAAAATATAATTAATTATAAGCCATTTTCTTTTCCTAACAATTTGTTTGTTTATTTTGTCACATATTTAAAATTTATTTTGCAATATAAATTTTAATGAAATGAAATGAAAAAAAAAAGCACAAAGAGTACATAACAATATGTGTTGGCCGAATTATCTGAGCTTTCTAAACTCTATCATAATTCAAATTTCAAATTTATCACTTTGTCATCTAGCTAAAAACTAGTTTGTTATCACTGATATGTCATTTTGATAAAGAAAAGAAAGAACAGCGCGAAGCTTAAGTTAAGTTAAGAATATATCAAGTAAAAGTATAAACTTCATTAATTTATAAATTTGATAAAAATGTTAAACTGTTGATAAATTATTTGCTTATTTGTAATGCTTATCAAAATAAAGCTAAGCTATCCAAGATTACGGCTTGCAAATTAGTCCAACTCAATTTGATAATAAATATCATTTGCATGAAGTAATTTCTGATAAATGATAAATCACTGATATCACATTCGTATTCAAGCTTTTGCTTCTCTTCCTACCTGATTTTGAAATGATTTTGATCAATTATCAATCACTGTTTGTTTGTCATTGCCTAATGTGACATTCGTCATATTTAACTTTCCTGAAATGTTCATCGAAATTCAGGACAATTTTTATAAAAGTTTTATTCAGTATGTAATTAGTATTAATAATGGATCACTCATTTTGCTAATCATTCAAATTAACAAACTTAACTGTGTTACGGTTCTTTTTTGCCGTTCTCTTCTTTCTTCCCGGATTGCATCCTGATAACCTTCCCGAAGTTGTTCCACAATGAATAAAACAATTTTTGTCCATCCGGTTTGTGTTGTCTTATTCCGATCCTTTTTTTCACCCCATTCTAATGTTCGTTCAATCATTGCTGATGCGAAATGATCGAAATGAATTAGACGAAATGGACAGCCAATTAATTGTGTATTACTTTTATTGTCAACTGGAAATGTATCAACCGGAAATTGAAAATTACGAATGCTTTTTGGAAAATTTAATTATTTGATTTTTCAAAAATTTTCAACTTATTTCTTTTGCTTGAAGCATTGTGAAGTTTTTTTTTTTTTTTTTTTTTTTTTTTTTTTTTTTTTAAGTAAACTTTAACTTTGTACTTATCAGTTAAATTAATACAATTTTATAAGCATTAAATATTAATTAAAAATTTTTATTTCTTTTTTGCATAAGAATTTAAATTTTTTATAAACAAACATTTGGTGCAATTATCACGAAGTAAGCAGAGATGTGCTCGTCCAGCTTTTCGTAATTCTTCAATTACAATTTCTTTTGCTTCCAGTCCAGTTATCAAACGATCCATAATATCAGTGAAACTTTTCGCATGTTTCTAAAAAATAAAAAAAAAAAAATCTTTTTGATCTTATCACTATCACTATCAACAATTTGCAAATGTAGAAACAAAGATTTTAATTAAATTTTTTTTTTTTTATTTAAAATTAAAAATACAAAATGTAATATTGTTAGCTTATAAAATAAGAATGTATGTATTAGCTCAAATAGTCAAATATTTTGTATCTATGCTAACTAATATTCTCTAAAAAAAAAAAATTTGATTAGAGTATTAATTATTCAAATTATCAATTTTTTACATTTTCATATTTTTTAAATTCTACCTTCAATCGTTCATAACCCATATTTTTAGGTCCATCCATGATCAGCGATCGAATCTCGCCGCATTTATAGAAACTATTCCGGAAAATACTTAATGCCGGTTCCAGTGCACCTTGATTTCTTGCATGAGACCAAGTTTTACGCACCAATAATAATTGAGTAGCGGTCAAATTTAAACTACTACTCCTATTTCGCATTAAATCGCGACCTGATAAAGTTTCTGCAAAGAAAAAAAAAATTGATTTAATTTAATTTAATTAATTACAAATTTGGGTGAAATGAAAGATATCTGAAATTTCAGCGATAAATTAGCTTTTAAATCCAATGCAACTATTATAATATAAATATATTTTCAAATTTATTTTGATATAAAAAAACTATGTGTTACTAAAAAAATGAAAATAATAATTGAAAAAATTTTTGAAAAGAAGAAAGGTAAAAAAGTTATATTAAGATTAATTATCAATATGGATTAAAATTTTAGGATTAAAAACTATTCCATATATACTCTTTTCAGTTGATCTTACTTTGAGCATTTTATTCTAAAATAATTATAATTAAAAATTTGATTTTAGACTTCTGTTTTCTGATCAATACTAGTTTGATATGAAAGAATAATGCGATGAAAGCAGGTGGTTGTCACCTTGATACTTTTAAACTTTTTTCAATTATTTCAATGCTTCTAATAAGAATCAAAAAACTCAATATTATAGATCATGTTATCATCAGAAGATATTATCAATGAGTAAGTTCAGAGAAAATTTTCAGTTATCAAGAAAGAAAAAAATTCAACGTTTATATAATTTTAAATTCACGTTTATATAATTCTCAAATTACAACTTCATAGTTTCAAATTAATTCATCCCTTCTTCTTCCTTTCCCAAATCTTTTTTATTATATCTGAGTTTCTCTCATTCTCTTTCACTTTCAAATAATTTCAACTAAATAATCGGAAAAAAAAGCGCGGCGGTAAATGACTCATTTATTAGTAAATTGAAATGGACGACTGATTGAATGGAATGTGCTATTAAAGCACTGAAATAGTCTTAAAGCTAATCTGACATTATGCTAATTGATCAATTTAAATTGAAAGCACATACAAAGCTAATTTCAATTCTTTTCCATTTCAAATATTGTCAAATGTAAGAGAAATCCCACATCGAAGATCAAATTAATGCATAAATTCGAAGCGCAAAAAGAAACGAATAATTTAGCTAAGCATAAACAATTACAAAAGCGCTAAAAGCCAAGGTTAATCATTTGAAATGTTTTTCAAAATTGTGAATTATATGTAAATTGATCTTTGATTTACTTTACTTCATGTTAAGTTATCACATCTACCTTTGTGCTAGGTGTTAAGATAAGATAAAACAGTAGTTTGTCTTTCAATTTCAGATCATTTCATTCCATAAAAAAAGGCTATCAAATCATATGAAAATGATAATGATAAGAAAGATAAATCAGTGAAATAGCTGGAATGAACTTTACTTTACTTTGTGTTAAGCTTTCACAAAGAATATATTTTAATAAAAGGACGTCATTGCACCTTATTAATTTGAAATGTCAAAGCGGAAATGACCTGACTGTGAGCAGGTGTGAAGTGAACTACGTGAATGATACTAAAGCGGAAATGACCTGACTGTGAGCAGGTGTGAAGTGAACTACGTGAATGATACTAAAGCGGAAATGACCTGACTGTGAGCAGGTGTGAAGTGAACTACGTGAATGATACTAAAGCGGAAATGACCTGACTGTGAGCAGGTGTGAAGTGAACTACGTGAATGATACTAAAGCGGAAATGACCTGACTGTGAGCAGGTGTGAAGTGAACTACGTGAATGATACTAAAGCGGAAATGACCTGACTGTGAGCAGGTGTGAAGTGAACTACGTGAATGATACTAAAGCGGAAATGACCTGACTGTGAGCAGGTGTGAAGTGAACTACGTGAATGATACTAAAGCGGAAATGACCTGACTGTGAGCAGGTGTGAAGTGAACTACGTGAATAATTCAGTTTGCCTCGTTGACGGTGATTGTGTCGTTCCATCAGACTGTCATTGTTAAGTGATTTCGATATTTGTTGCATACTATCTGCAAGAATGAAACGAATGAAAATTTTTCGCATTAAACAATTTATCGAAATTTTTGAAGAATTTTCTCGATTTTATCGATTCTTTTATTTCATTCAAATTGAGAAAATTCTTTGATAGAAATTATTTTTTTCATTTCAATAATTTGAAATGAAAATTAAATGAAAATCAAACTTTTCTTTTCTTTTTTTTTTTTTTTTTTTGCATATAAATTAATATAAGAGAGATATGATAGTCAATATTTAATGTTCAAATTATTTAAAAAATGTTTCAAATTAAAAAATTTTTTTTTCTTGGATCATCAAAAAAAAATTTGCAAAGTCTTTTTCAGCAATTATTTTAAAAAAAAATAAATAAATAAAAAACTTTGAATAAATTTTTAAATTTCAATCACTGTCACTGTCAAATTTATATAATGCAAAAATGGAAAGTTACAATGGGAATAAATTATAAAAGAAATTAATTACAAACAAAGACATTTGTCTTTCTCTTATAATATTTCAAATTATAATTTTGAAATGAACTATTTTTTCTTTTGATTGTTTTCTTTCACTAATAATAATAGTATTTAAAATTTAAAAAAAGAAAAAAAAATGTTAAAATTGGCGAATATTTCATTAATAAATGCTATTATTAACTAACAATTTAAAAAATAATTTATAAAAAAAAAATGAAATTTTAGCGATGATTAATTGGTGTTAATTTCTAGAAGAATTTCAATTCAATTATATTTGATATTTTTTTTAAAATTGATTGAAGAAGAAGAAAAAAAGCAATGTTCGAAAAAGATTTAATACTTTTAAGAAACTTTTCAATCAACAAATTAGCTGTGAAGTGATATTTACTAAGCAAACAACAATATTTGAAAATTTCAATCAAATATATATTTTATTAAAATTTGCAAAAAAAAAAAAAAAAAAAAAAAATGCTTATTTCATCTTTGGCAAATACTTAAATATACATTTCTAATCAATAATAAATCATCTTTGCAAGAAAGTAAAAAGTAAAAGAAAAACTAAAAGTTAAAGAAAACAGAACCAACAAATAAGTATTATATATCGGAATTTGATTCCGACTTCGATTCCGGTTCCGGTTCTCTCTATTAACAATCTATTTGTTTGTAAAAATACTAAAATGATCAAAAATTGAAAATAATTTAGCTGAAGGTGAAGCGAAGATGGAAGTTCATACATCCCTAAGGTATTTCATATGATAGTAAAAAAGAAATGAGCGCTAAGCGCTAATGACGAGAAACACTTAGGCGCTTTTTTTTTTTTTTTGAGGATGACAAAGTGTCTTCGTCATCCATCCATTAATGTCTAAAAGGCGACACTCTCTGAGTGCATTAATAATAAATTGAATTACCAATCCGTAAATAAATGCATTTTGTGAATGAATTAAACAACAAATAGTTTAGAGTAGCTATTTTTATCAAATAATACATTAAATTACTTATTTGTAACGGAAATATTCAAATTTAAAATTGAAATTACTAATTTAATAATTTAAAATTACTCATCATGTTTTATACAAACATAACTATGTTTTTGTTTACATCACACAAAACTTTATAACATTCATGTGAGAGCTATTAAACGATCTGTTCTGTTTCTATTTAATAGTAAAAAAATATATATATTTCAATTTCTATTTCAATTTTCGAATTTAGTTTTCAATAAATTGTAATTTTCATTTCAGTTTTTAATTGATAATTCAAAAGTATACATTAATAATTTAATTAATTTAATTTTAAATTAATAAATTGACTTCATATGCCTTGAATTATCATTGTTATTATATGTTGAAGCTTAGGTACGATTAGATGGTAATAAAATTTGTTAAATTAATTTGAAAACTTAAACGTTTTGTTTGATTTTTGCAATAGAATAATTTAGTAAAAAGTAAATTCTCGAGAGTTTATATGATAAAATTAACATTTAATTATCAAAATTCAGTTCCTCAAATATTTTATTGAACTTTTGAAGAGAATAAAAACATTCCTATCAATGTTATTAAAATTATTGCTAGAAAAAGAAATCAAATAAGTCACAGAAATTCAAGTATGGCAAAAATTTTCCAAAAGATTTTAATAATTCATAAATGATATTTTGATGACAAATTATAAAATATAATTGAAACAATCAATTCAATAATTTCTTTCTCTTAAATGCATCTCATTTAATAAATTTTTAATAAACTTTGAATAGTTTAAAGTTCATCAAAAGTTTATTAAAAATTTATTTTTTGAAGAGTTTAAAAAATAATTTGAAGTTTTACTTTTTTTTCCGTCAATTAACCAACTGGCTGACAACGATTTCCTTTTATTCATTGTTTTAGGTATTAAAACAACAACAGGATTTTCCAGTATTGATATTTCATTATCGTTCTGTAACGGAAATTCTTTCCTGAAATCATATGCAAATACAATTATTCCAGAAATTTAGTAGTATTAACGGATGGCTTTCTCTTTATCAATTAGTAATAATTCAATGTATTTCTTTTCATGTTTTTCTTTTAAATTTTCATAAAAAAAAAGAAAAGAAAAAAAAGCAAACAAACGTTTTTTGCTGCTTAAAATTAATTACGGAACGATCATTCGTCGTCGGATCAGGAATTTTTCTATCGAATATACGACACGAAATTCGAATTCGTCGAATATCTAACAAATAGAAAGATTCTAATTCTTGAATTCTTCAAATTTACTTTATCATAATTTGATATTCTTAGTTGTATAAAAAGCTACTTAGAATATCTAAGATTTATGTAAACACTTACAGATCTAACAGGAAATGTATTTTGTTAAGTGAGTTAGGAAACCAGAAAACACGTCAACCTTCAACTGTTTAACTTCCGGAACAGGTTATTGATGTGTAACGTAAGAAATAACTTATTATGATAAGATCATATCTAACAGAAAATGTACTTTGTTAAGCGAATTAGGAAATCAGAAGACACGGAAAACGTATAATTCACGTATAACTCACGTAGAACTAACTTATTATGATAAGATCAGAAAATACACTTTGTTAAGTGAATTAGGAAACCAAAAGATATGTCAATCTTGAACTGTTTTACTTCCGGAACACGTTATTGACGTATAACATAAGGACTAACTTATTATGATAAGATCATATCTAACAGAAAATGTACTTTGTTAAGTGAATTAGGAAACCAAAAGATATGTCAATCTTGAACTGTTTTACTTCCGGAACACGTTATTGACGTATAACATAAGGACTAACTTATTATGATAAGATCATATCTAACAGAAAATGTACTTTGTTAAGCGAATTAGGAAACCAGAAAACACGTCAATCTTCAACTGTTTTACTTCCGGAACACGTTATTCACGTATAATGTGAGAAATAAGTTATTATAATAAAATCATACCGCTGCAATCAAGCGTATAACTACGTTTTGCAAGTTCAGAAATGATTTGAACGCTATCATCGTATGAACATATCGTTGAATTATTAGCAGCAATAACTGATGGAATAGTTTCAGTACTAATCGATGATACGGTGGAATTAGACGATGGCGCATATGGCAATGATCGATGAGAAGTGGAACTTATCAGCCATTTTGATTTATTCTCTTTCTCATCTATAAATTTTAAAAATAATTTAACATTGAATTAAGTCTTATCGATTAGATTAGATCAGATTTGATTTGATCAGAATAATCATAATAATAAATGAATGAATTTTTATTTGAACGATTCAATTTATTTGAACTATCTTCTGCATTAACTGTAATCTGTTCATCATTTATTGATATATTTAAAATTTTGAAAATAAAAATTAAAATTTAAACAAAAAAAAAAAAGGAAAAGCTCACCAGCATCGATCAAATTTTCATTTGTTGAGAAATAGGAACACGTTGAAATGGATCGAAGCAATGGAATTTGTTTTGATTGATTGTGCTTTTCCTGTTTCAATGAATTATTGTTTGATGAATTTGATGAATTTCTTATAGTATTTTTTGCATTTCGATTACCCATTCAAATTTCAGTACATTTAGTTAATATTTTAGTGCTTTAAATAAATTTTAAAATCATAAACAAATGATCAATGTATGATTTTATTCAACCATTTAATCTGAAATTATTAAATATATAATCGCAACAAAAGCAATGATAAAATGAATTTTTACTCAATTTCATTCCATCTAGCAAAATTTTTGCGAAAAAAAAAAGTGCGAAATTCACACTGTAATTATTAACATTAACATTGGTAGTTTATGTTGTTTACAAAAGTAAACATTAAGCGATTGTTCATTGGTAGTTTATGTTGTTTAGAAAAGTAAACATTAAGCGATTGTTTGTTTTCGAATTGAATTATTTGTTTAATTTCAACAAAAGTAAAAAGACGGACCAATTATGATAATAATTGATATCACTTAGTGCTATATCGTTATCACTCGTTCTTATCAGTGTATCACTTATTAGGGAACAATTTGCACAAATATCTTCATATTTTAACTAATTCAATGCATTCTTAAATTTTTGAAAGTCTTAAAATTTATCAATTAGATAAAACAATTTAATGAGAAGCAACTTTGATTTGATCTGATCTGGTTGGATAATTTTTTGAAATTTTTAATAGAACTAGAAAAGGAGTGAAAATTAAAGAAAAGATAAAAGTAATTCTTAAGTTTAATATTCCAAAGCATAGTAATAACTCAAAGATTATTGTATTATAGCGAAAGGTTCAAAATAAATGATTGCAATGAATTCAGATCACTGATAGCTAATGATAATGAGCTGAATGTGATATCAGTTGAGTAAGTGATTAGAGAAAGTTAAATTATCACTGTTAAATATCAATCATTAATACTTGTTGATTTCTGCACTGAAAGGCTTACTTACTTGCATTGATTGCATGCATTTTTAGCTAAAAAAATTTTTGATAATTTTTTTTTTCTCTTTTTGATTTGCTATGCGTTTGATAAATTCAATGATATGAACAATAATTTAAAGATTAATCGATAATTTATAAAAGTAGAAAATTGTACTTAAAAGGAAATTTTAGAAAAAGTGAAAATTACCAGCGGTAACGTCGGATAAGTCAATCTGATATGAATAAACTTTTTATGATTGTCATCCAACAAAATGTTAATTTTACAAAAAAATTTAAATTAATCTTTCTCTCGTAGTGTTAACTAAACGAATGCTTTTTTAGCGTAACAGTGCAAACGTTTATAAACGAACTGAACGTGATAGCGTACGTCAAATACCTTAAGTATGTCGTAACGTACGTGAAATACCTTAAGCATAGTATAGGCACTGTTTGTTTTGAAAGAAAAGTGTTTTTAGCACTGATAAATGAAAACGTTTATAAACGAATTGAATGTGGCAACGTAAGTGAAATACTTTAAGTATGTCGTAACGTACGTGAAATACCTTAAGCATAGTATAAGCACTGTTTGTTTTGAAAGAAAAGTGTTTTTAGCACTGATAAAAGCTAATACAAATTGCTGCAAATTTCAATTCTTTAAGCAAATTCAAAATATCAGAATTATTTTCTAAAATAAAAAACAAAAAAATCACAATTTCTTTTGAAGAAGAAATCAGAAAGATGAAAAACTTAAATTTCATTTATGCAAATTACAATGCGATAAATTCACACACACAAAAAAGAAAAAAAATACGTCGCTGAAATGAATTTAAAATCGAAAACAATTTTCATTTCTAAACTAGGAAGAAACGAAATATCCATTCGTAAACTAATTTAAAATGAAGAAATAACGTTTGGATGTAATTTTAAAATGAATGATTCGATCACTTGAAGCTTCCAATAATTTCTTTTTTTTTTTTTTTTGCAATTTCCAATTAATTTACAAATTCAAATTAATGAATACAATTATTAGCGAATAAAACTTATTATTTTATTAATTAAACTCTAAAAAATTATGTAGTAGCAGCTAGAAAAAGTTAAATTTTAATTTTCTATTTAATTTTCATTTAAATTTCTGTTTTTTTTTTTTTTTTTTTTTTAAGAATAATAAACAGACAAATTGAGCTTAGCGAAGCAAAAAAGAAAGGATCAAAAAAAAATTTTTTTTTTTCATAGATAGTTGAAAAGAGAAAAAACAAATTTTTGAGCTTAAAAAATCAAAATGTATTCTTTCTTTTTTTTTTTTTTTTTTTTTTTGGGGGGGGAATTTTTATGAAAAAAGTTAACAATATGAAATAAACAAGGCTACGAGTTATTTTTTTTTTTTTTCAGTGGACAAATTCAATTCGTTAAATTACTAGGCACTTTAAATGAAAAAGAAAAAAAAAAGAAATCATTGATAGGCATAAACAGAAGCATCGCTATTGCTTTGCTTAATTCACAGACGAAAATTTCGAAAATAAACTTTTAAATCATTAAAATCTCTTTTCTTGCTATCATTTTCTACAATCAATAAAAAATAAAACTTTTTTAAATATGCAAAAATCATTTCTTTTTATGAATTCAATAAATAATTCAAAAATTTTTTCATTCTTAATTATTGAAAGAAACAGGAATGAATAAACTTAGATTGAATGTAGCAAAGAACGAATAATTAAATTTGATAAATCCATCTGAATGTTAATTAATTAGCTGAAAATAAAGAATACACACAATTTTTATTTCATTTATTTTCTCGTCGATTCATCAATTAATCAATTTGAAATGAACAAAAAATTTGTAATTGAAATTATTGAAAGATCAGTAAAAGTGACAAATTTCATTTTGAAATTTTGATATAATTAGTATTAAGTAATAGTATGAAATTTAAAAAACATGTTAAAAAAAAATAAGAAATTTAAAAACAAAGTTAAATATCATAGTAAAAGTAAACAAATAACGAGTAAAGTACATTTGATAAATTATATTTTGATCAACTAAAAACGACGAAATTAGATATAATCAATTAAAATAACACAATTCATTTTATTAATTGCTATTAATTGTTAATTAATTAACCTATCGACTAACATTTATAAATTTTTAATTGATTAAATCACAGATTATTTCAATTTTCCATTACTTTTTTTTTTTGAAAAAAATAAAAGATTTGAGATTGAAACAAATAAATCAAAGTTAAACTATTTGTTTTTTTTTTGTAAATAGAAAAAAAATTGAAGGCGCTAAAAAAAGTTGTTAATTAAATGGTGCAAATTAATAAAATTTAATTTTTTTACAAAATTTTTCACTAAAAATTTTTTTTTTGCACAACGATAGATTATCATATCAATGGTTAGTATTTTTACCTATTCAAATGCTTCATAATACTCTAAGAAATTACTAACTATTATAATTGATAGGTTCAGGTAATCAGATCTTTCTTTAGGTATTCGAGTTAATAATAGCTATTATCATATCAATTGATCAGCTTATCATTGCCATTATCATTCATTTCCTAAATCAGTTGATTAGCTAAAAATATGAATATTATTCACTCTAAGAAATTACTAACTATTATAATTGATAGGTTCAGGTAATCAGATCTTTCTTTAGGTATTCGAGTTAATAATAGCTATTATCATATCAATTGATCAGCTTATCATTGCCATTATCATTCATTTCCTAAATCAGTTGATAAGCTAAAAATGTTCCTTTCTGCTTCATTTCATAAATTTTAACATTGAAAGGAATAAAATTAATTAGTTTTGTTATAAGAAAAGAAATTAACAAAAAAGAATTAATTTCATTTATTGTTAACTTTGAAGAAATTCTGTTTATTTCATTTTTATTTTTAGAAAAAGAGAGAAATTCTCAAATTCTTTTTTTTTTCCTTTTCATTCCTCACTCTTTCTCTCTCTCTCTCTCTCTCTCTCTTAATATATGAAAATATTAGAGATAACATTTAGCTCTCTGATAAGATATACTTAACATCATTGTACGTAATATAGTAACGTAACGTAGCGTAACGTAACGTAACGTAAAGTTTAGAGAAGGAAGTTTCGTTGTTAAACTAAAAAAGCAAAGAAAGATTAGACATAATTTACTGTTCAAAATTTAATAAAATAATTTGTAAACTTTGAAAGGAAAAAAAAAAATTAGTTTACAAAATTTGAAAGAGCAAGAATAAATATCGATTGGATATATATATCATTCTTATCACATTTTTTTTCTTACTTTCTTACACTTTTCTATTTGCACTTGAAGAAAAATTAAAATTGTACAGTTTAGTGATAATACTATCAGTGATAGTATGTAAACTATTTCAAATTATCACTACGATTAATGATAACTCATTCATTATTCATCTAATTTCAATTAATCCTTTTTAAATTTAACCTTTACTAAATTCATCCAATTAAATGATACTTACTAAATTCCAAAAAAAAATCATCTAACTAAGCTAATCTCATCCATCATCACAAATTTATAGCTTGAAAAAGTTTAAAAACACTAAAATTAACAGGTGGAAGTGTGAAAAAGAATAAATAACATACATTATTATTCATTAAAATATTATTAATATTTTTAACTTTAAATACATTTAATACTTTTAACTTTAAATACATTAATATTTTCACGTTTTTTCACGTTTTAATTTCACATTTTACGTATTTTATCACTTAATCAAAAACATAAGAAAAGAATTGGCGCTAATGTATCATTTGGAAGAGAGAAATTGAATAAATAATTTGTATCACAAAAAAAAAAAAAAAAAACAGCAAAATAATGAGCAAATGAAATGGAAAATGAAAAACACAAACAGTGGCGTAAAATTATTTATGGTTTTGAGTGAAAAATCATTTTGCCATATGTCTTTTCCTCATTTATGCATTATTTATGAATTGCTCATTCGGTCTTTTTCCGCCCATACAATGTCTTTCTTAAGAAGGGATTAGCTTAGCTATGCTATGGCTTATGATCTGAATTAATTCAATCATTTCAAATGAAAGAGAGAGAGGGAGAGAGGGAAAGAGGGAGAAAGAAAAATACAGGTACTTCAATTTTAAAGCAAAATAATGAATGGTTGAGTGATAATATTTACAATATTGAAGGAAAATAAAAAAAAAAAAAAAAAAGAATTTGGATTTTTTCTTTTTGTACAATTAATGTTTTGTACGACAATTAGCGCCTGATCGCACTTTTACAGAGAAAGATTGACTTTTTTACATTCGATTTGTACGACAATTAGCGCCTGATCCGATTTGTACGACAATTAGCGCCTGATCGCACTTTTACAGAGAAAGATTGACTTTTTTACATTCGATTTGTACGACAATTAGCGCCTGATCGCACTTTTACAGAGAAAGATTGACTTTTTTACATTCGATTTGTACGACAATTAGCGCCTGATCGCACTTTTACAGAGAAAGATTGACTTTTTTACATTCGATTTGTACGACAATTAGCGCCTGATCGCACTTTTACAGAGAAAGATTGACTTTTTTACATTCGATTTGTACGACAATTAGCGCCTGATCACAGTTTTACAGAGAAAGATTGACTTTTTTACATTCGATTTGTACGACAATTAGCGCCTGATCGCACTTTTACAGAGAAAGATTGACTTTTTTACACTCAATTTGCGCGACAATTAGCGCCCAAAGCATCTTCCTTGCATACTTTGATAGGAGTAAAACAAAAAGTTTTACTGTTAATTGGCTTAAATAATATTATTTTTTACATTGTGAATGTTTGGTCACTCACTCAGCTATCTAAAATGGCTGATTTCTTTTTTTTTTTTTTAAACTAATTAACGAATATAATTTTCCATCATTAGTTAAATTTCTCGAATAATAGTTAAACAGTCTTGAAGAAAACTTAGAAATGATTAGAATCTGAATTTCATTGTCAAAATTAGCTCACTAATTAATTAATTAATTAATGAACACAAATAGCGAACTGATTTTAGCCTAAATCATCGAAAATTTCGAATGAAAAACAAAATCATCTGATTGCATTAATTATGTATTAAGCATTTTTATTGAAAAAATTTTTGAAAATAGAAAAAGGAAAATAATTGCTATAAAATAAAATTTGCCTTTCATATTTCTTTTTTTTTATTTTTTCTTCTGAAATTCTCTTTATTAACAATTCCTAATTTCAGCATAATATTATTAATTATTTTTTAATTTTTAACTTTATCTTTTGCCAGAGTGGAAAATTTACTTTTAATTCTTCAAAATTTATCAAATTACCCTTTTTTTTTTTCCTTAAATATTTCGATTTTATAATAACAGTTTGTCATCAAAAATTTATTCGAGAAATTTGGACATTTCCCCGCAATTATTTATATCGTCGATAGATGGTTTTTTTTCCTTTCCTGTCAAAAAAGCGAATGGGAAAATGAAAATTTTGCCATTTTAGTTTATCATTTCTTTTAATCTTTAAAAAGTAATTTACCCATTTTCTAAAATGGGTAAATTACTTCAATTTAACAGAGAAGAAGCTATGTGTATGCGATTGTGTTAGCAAATAAAACTTCTTGTAAGAACAATCAATCAGTGAGGAGCGCAAATGTCACAAACAACTGAAAGACTAATAATAAAAGACTATGAATTTAATTGTTGATGAAGAAGGGGAGACTGAAATAGTTAATTAACTAGGTAATTAATTAGCTATATTTTTTTTTTGAAGTTAATTAGCTAAGTAAATATGCCTATCAAGGCAAGATTGATAATTTTTATATAATAATTTTTGATTTCAATTTGTTTCTTATCAAGGAATGCAATTTATGGCATTTATTTAAAATAAACAATCATCAATTTCATTTTATCTTTATTGTTTATTTTAATTAAATTTTAAACAAAGTTAGTTTACGTATGTTATACCATTTGACGTGAAAATTCTTCGTGATATTTTCTGTATCGGCGACTTCTTACAGAAATTTATAACACGTAGAATTAAGTGGACAATAAGTGATATACGTCAATACTTTCAGTAAAAATATCTTATTACAATCAAAAAATAATAATTAAAATAAGTTTTTTCGAGTACCACAAATAATTAAACAAGAAATGAAAACAATAAATTCTAGTTTATCTGTCTAAATGAGCATTTCATTTATGAATTTTTATTTTTCGATTTAAAAAACAAAAAACAAAATTATAGTTTATCTGTCTAAATAAGCGTTTATAAAATTGTTATATATTTTTTTCGATTTTTTTTTCTTTTTTCTTTTTTTTTTTTCAAAATTATTATGGAAGAGAAAATGTTGAATATTTGAACAAACAGTTGTCATTTTGTGTATTAAATGAAGATTGAATTAGCTTAAGACATTAAAGTGCGAAAACATTGAAAAATAATAAACTAAACGATTAATTAGATTAAAGATTAAAAATAGCTAAATTAGTAGAAAAAGAAAAATGTTTATAAAATTAAGAATAAAAAAAGTGGAATATTTTTTATAAATGTTCAATATATATATTTATTTATTTATAATTCAATTTAAGATTGCTTAACAACAACAAATAAATTAGATTCGAAATATGTAAACAGGAAAAAAGTTGATTACCTGAATTAAATTATTATTATTATTTTTTTTTTTAAAAAAAAAATATGATGAAGAATTCAGGATGGATAATTAAAGAAAAAATTTAGTTTTTTTTTTTAAAAAAAATTGAAATCTAATTAATAGTAGAGAAAGAGAATTTATGCGAGGAAGCAAAATAGAATATAAAATAAGAAAAAGGGAAAATATGTAATTTGCAAATGCATACTGCAAAATGCATGCTGCAATATGCATGTGAAAAGCAAATGACGCAGAAATGATTGGTTAGGAATGAATGAAGTGCATGACGTGATGGATGAATAAATTATTGACCCTGCTCACCTGTACAGGTGCACTTATCAACTTGAATTAGACTAATTTTAAAATTATTTACTAAACTGATAAATTGTCAACGAAATAAACTTTTCATTGAATTTTGTTTAATCTTTCATTTTTTTTTTTTTTTTTTTTTAAGTTAGAAAATTTGAATTGCATTTGCAAAAGTATTTTTTGATAGATTGAGCAGAAAATGTTTTAAAATGATTGGTTCAATCTAATACTTTTATTTTTCTTCTCGTTTAAAATATAAACAACTTTTTTTTAAATAATTTTCTTTTGTGAATTATTTTAAAAAAACTTTTTTTTCAATTAAATTTGAATTTATTATTGCTTCTACTCTTTGTTTTAATTTTGAACTTATTATCACTCTTACTCTTGAAGAGCTAAGTTTATGATTAACTTTGAATATTTGAAAAAAAAAAATTTTTTTTTTAAATTTAAAAGGATCAAAGTAAAGTAAAAAGATCAACGAATAGATGTAATGCTTATTGGCAATAAAATTTTATTTTGTTCTGTTCAAAATAAACCAATAAATGAAATTGAGAATTCTCATAAAGAATTGATTTAAATTTTCTTCCAAAATTATTTCTTTCTCTTTTTTCTTTTTTTTTTTTTTTTAAATGTTAAAATGGGGTGCAAATAGTAGATAGGACTTTTCATGTGAATTTATTTTATTTACTAATCAAAGACCTGATTGAAATGAAAAATCATTTCCATTTTAAAAATAATTTTAACATTTAAATTGCAAACTTGAATTTTGCTATCACTCAAATATTACACCAAAAAATAAGAAAAAAACTTCTGGTATTTATTTATTTTTTTTTTTAAATAAACGATAATTTAAAGAAATGAAATGGAACGGAGCTGTAATATTGTTACTATCAATCAAAATGTCATACTGAATTTAACTTAAGCCATCACGTATAGCGTATATTCACGTACGTGTGTGATACGTATTCAAATTAAACATTCCATATCGATCATACTTAACTTTTCCTTCTCAATGACTAAATTTTTTTAATGTTTTTTGGAATATTATTTTGATGGAAATGAGTAAAAATGAAAGTTATAGTTTTTTAGAAGTAACGCAGAAGGTACATTAGCGCTTTTTAATATTTACTTTTTCTTTTTTGAAATTAAAAACCTGTTTGTTGTTAAAAATTTGTCCTTCTTTAATTTGAGCGTAACACTTTAAATTTCCACCTCAGAGTTTGTTTTTTGCTTATTTTTGTTTTTTGTTTTGTTTTGTTTTTTTTTCCAACACTGCTACATCGACAATTATAGCAATGCTTCTAGTTTATTTAACTGTTAGTTAAATTTTTATTTTTAAAAAATTTATTTGAGTATAATTTTTTCAAAAGTATTCCATTTGCATAATTTAAAAATGTTTTATTAGTTATATTCAAATAATTGAAGTTTATCCTTCTAAGCATTTTCATTTTCAACCAAAAATACGAGAAACTTTTGAAATTTTAGAAATTAAAACTTTTAAACTTTATAAAATAAAACTTTTGAATTTTATAAATTAACTTTAGATTTCTGGCATATTTATTGGTCTCAATGGATTTGAAAGTAAGTAATTTAACAATTTATTGAAATGCATTTTTTTTTTGTGCTATTCAAATTTCTCACAAATACATTCATTGCATACAGTTTAACATTTTCAGTTAATATTCGTTCATAAATAGCTAAAATTTTTATTAATTTTATAATTTGTTAATTTTTAATTAACTAAAATAATAATAAAATTATTATTTTTTCAAATGAGAAAGATTTATAGAAAATTGTTGAATTAAGCAAAACAATTATAATTCATTAATTTGCAAAAATAAATTATTAATTTTTACAAATAAAAATTTTATTTTTTTTTTTTTTAATTTTAATTAGTTTAGTTCAAAAAAAAAAAAATATTTCAGCATGTGTGGACAAATTTTGTCCTTTGGGGACATATTGTGAGGAACGAGACATTGTCCCATGCGTAAAGCCACCATGTCGACCGTTACTTGTTTGTATGCCTGATAATACTAAAGGTTTTGACACTTTTTTTTTTTTAGCATATTTCTGTTTAACATCATAAATAACCAATGTTTACTAGGGAAAAAAACTTACCCATATTATACCCGTGGGAAAGATATGATGAAAAAAGGCAAGTACTCATTTAGTTAACAGCTTAGAGTAACTGGAAAGAATCTATCTCAATGCATTTCATTGGTAATTCCCAGAGGTATCGATGCAGAAAATTCATCGCAATTTACAATCTTAAAACATACGGAAAGAAAAAAAAAACTTTTTGAATATAAAATTAAATAGCAAATTTCATATATTTTAAAATATTTCCATTGAATTTTATTTTTATTTTCATTTTTTTTTTGAATTTGAAGAATTTTATGTTTTTAGCATTTTTTTTTTTTTTTTGAAATTTCAATAAACTTTCAGGCTGTAAAAGTCATCCACCATGTCCAGCTGGTCAAGTATGTGCCGAAAAATTGGTACCATGTATTGGCCGATCATGTCGAAAAATTGCAAAATGTGTTCCACCAGGAAGTTTGCTCATTTTATTATTTTCGTTTATTGAATCTCAAAATTTATTTTTTTTTTTTTTTTTTTTTTTTGTTTAATTAATTTCTTTCTTTTAAATTTCTTTTAGTAAAATTTATTAGTAAAAAAAAAAAAAAAATGAAATAAAACTAAAATATGCAAGAAGCAATGCATCGATTTTCAAATTAAAATTTTTTTTTTTTACTCAAAAAATAAAAATTCAAATTTTATTCGAAATAAAAATAAACTTTAACTAATATTTACAGCATGCGATGCAATGGAATGTCCTCCATCACATAAATGTATAATGAATCCTGGACCAACATGCATCAAAACAATTTTATCTGCTGAAGATATTGCCAGAATGAACGAACAAATCCACTAATCACGTCACGTTTACACGCCCACTAATCACGTCACGTTTACACGTCCATTAATTATATCATGTTTATAATTCATTTTCTTTTATATTTTATCTTAATAAAACCAGTATGTTACAAAAGTTGCGTGGAATCAGTTTGAATATAAAATACGAAAAAGCGAATAAAGATTAAATAATTAAATAAATAAAAAAATAAATGAAAAATTTGAATAGAGAAAGAAAAGAATTGATATGACGTTTAGGTGACAAAAGCACTAATTTATGAAAAATAATGTCACATTGTCACATCTGTCACATCACCATTGTGTCCCATAAATATTTCATATCAAATTGCATTCCAATTGCATAACTTTTTTTTTTTTCTAACACCAATCTACGATGTTTTGGAATTTTAAAAAGTAATTTTGGAAGTTTTGGAAGTGTAAATGACAAATTATACTTATTGCTATTTTAATACCATTTGAAACAGTTAATTAATAATCTTTCCAATCTATAATAAATATTAAATTTTAGAAAATATCACAAAGTTAAAGTTATGAAATAATTAAAAAAAAAGGTTCTGAATTGATAAGTGAAAACATACTTCAAAAATTCTTCTTTTATAATTTTTTAATTTCGAAAATAAAATTGCGTCTTCTGTATTTCTAATAAAAAAAAAATCAGTTCATTTTTACTGCAAAATTGCTATACATTTTTGTTTATTTACTTTTTTTTTTCTCTTTTAAAAATGATTTTATTAATAAAATTTGTTTCATTAAATTGTGGTTAAAATTTCAACTCTAATTTATTTAAGAAACATAAATCTAAAATGATACAATCAATTAAGTAACTTTAGCAAGAACCAATCAGCATTTTTAAATCACTTAAAATTAAACTTACAATTAAAGAAAAATGAAAAAGTTCCAACTGCTACAGTTATAAAGTATTGTTTATAAATGTTAAAGTTAAAGATTAAAAATGGATCAATTCTTATACTCTGATCGATAAAGTTGATCAAATATTGATTAATAGTTGATCAAATATTGATCAATAATATTAGCTGTCCACATTTTCACATCAGTTTACAATTTGCTGTGCCTCTAAAACTCAAAATTTTTGCCTTCAAAGTGTTCAAATTTGATCGTTTTAATTTTTGAATACCTTATGATACTTTTCAAATGAAATATTCATTTTTTTTTCTATTTTGATAAATTGATAAATTAAAAATTTTTTTTTCAACATTTTAAATTTAGCAGAATTGAAATGATTGAATGTATGATTAAATGATATTAAGCATAAAATTTGCTTATCATTGATAAGCATAAAATTTGCTTATTACTGATAAGCATAAAATTTGCTTATTACTGATAAGCATAAAATTTGCTTATTACTGATAAGCATAAAATTTGCTTATTACTGATAAGCATAAAATTTGCTTATTACTGATAAGCATAAAATTAGTTACGTTCGTTTTTTTTTACTTATTGTCCATTCTATTAATATAAGTAAGCGGTGGTTACTAAATACAATTATCTATCACTAACTCATATCTTTCATTCTTCTAATTTACGTATTACACTTCCTGTTAACTTCCGGTTTATCATTCATCAATGGGTAAAATTCCGGAATTACTAGAAAATGTAATTTTGACTGGTTACTGTACTTATCGTGTGCTCATTGCTATTCATCTCATTACGCAAAATGCTAAATATGCATCAGAAAATGATGTTTACGGATGGATTGAAAATCATAATTGGCGTAAGTTTAATTTTGATATTTTACGTAAAAGAAAAGTTAATAAGTGAATTTGAAATTTAGTTGAAATATGCTAAATTAGTATGTTTAAATTAGGATAATTATAAATTTAATGAAGTATGAAATGTATTTTAAATTAGCATCATTCAATCATAGATAAACAGAATTCAGAATCATATGATCCTGAATTCTGGATTACTGCTTGATTATTCAAGCAGTATAGTAAAACAATGAACTATTCCATTTCATTACTTTATAAAGATAAATGAACAAAAGAAAGAAAAACAAAAAATTATTTAAATGAAAAATAAAAGTAAGTCATTCATATTGCTGTCTTCTCTTCACTTCCAGAATAACATTTAGCGCCCAAATTTGAGGATAATAGCGCCATTTTTAACTTAACAAAAAATTATTCAATGCAACTTTCCTCTTTCAGCTGAGCTTGAAATTGCATCTGCTATAATGGCAATGATCGGTTTACTATCCGGTCAACGATTTATATTCTGTTTTACAGTATTCTTCTTTATACTACGTACTGCTATTAATATTACGGTTGTAACCATCGATCTGTATACTGTAAAACTTTTCTTCCATTATTTACAAAATAGTGTTGTTTGCTTTTCCGGATATCTCATTCCGGTTATGATTAGGTATACATCGTAGATTGTAGAATGTTCATATGGATGAGAAAAAAAGAAGCAAATAGATAACACAGCAATTAAATTTAAAATATTAGCTAATTCATTTGAATGTTACAAAAAAAATTAAGGTAATTAATTACTCAGTCAGCTAATTTTAGCTAATTAATTATTTACAATAATTTACTTTCGTCACCATTACTGAGTTAAAGTTAACTTCTACTTTCCGTACAAGTTAACCTGATCATTTTCTATATTCAAGCTTTCATCCGGAAAATCAATCAGTTGTATCACAAGTGAACATTTCTCGGCCGATGTACTCTACAACTGTAAATGGAGCGATGCTTTCATCCTTATTCAAGACGTACTCACGCTTATCTCACTCGTAAGTCTTTCTCTAGTTTCACGTCTTTACGCTTCCACACACGCAAAAAAAAAGAACGAGACTTTTTATAAACGGTGAAAAAGTAAACATAATTTAATTCTATATTAGCACCTCATTGTTAATCTTAACAATATGCATTAGCATATTTTTGTTTATTATTTCTTTCATTAGCAGATGAATGTTTTTTTTTTTTTTTTTTTTAAATAAATTACAGAAATTTGACAATTTCAAAAAAAAAAAAATTATTATTTTATCAAAATTTATACCTAAAAAAAAAAATAAATTTTACAGAGAAAATATTATCTTATAGATTCTAATGTCTGTTGTTGTCTTCCTTCGATTGTTTTGTTTCATACCTGAACGAAACGATATTGGAAATGATCCGATTGATGAGAATTATATTGAACAGAATGAAAAGATCAAATTACCATTCTTTATTAGCTATAAGAATCAAATGGAAAATAATGAACAGAATTATAAATATAATATTAATTACAATGATAATCCATATAAAACATCTGTAATTTAAAAAAAATTTTTTGATTAAAACTTTTTTTATCGATTTATAGTTTTACAGTTTTATAAAATTTTCTCTCTTCACTTTTTTTCCTTTTTTTTTTTTCTTGGTATCAAATATCAAATGATATGATAAGACGTTATACGTATGCAATACGTACGTGAATAATTATTGCAACACGTCTGTTAAAATACGTTAGCATTTTTTTTTTTTTGATGAAAAAATCATTTTTTGATCGAGAATGAAAGAAGTAATTATTGTTAAAGAACTGATAAGAAAAAGTGATGAAAATGTTATCAAATAAATGAAAAATATTATTATTGATAAGGAAAGTAAAACAATTTGATTAAGTTAGCATTAATTTAATAAATCGTTTAATCTAGCATTTACGTAAATAACTTTAGTCATAAAATTCTCTGCCACAATAGCATACGTCACGTCTACTACGTCATTTGTTAAATTAAAACATATTTCAAAAAAGAAAAGATCATTCGCTTTGCTTTTAAAAATTTTAATTCAAATCATTCAAACCGTTCAAATTTGTTAAATTACTGTGAAAAATTCAATTGATAACTTTTTTTTTTTTTCATTTACAATTATTCATTTCATTAACTAATATATAATTAACCTAATTTTTTGTGATTATATCAGTAAGTTATCAAAATTGTAATGAATAATTAAAGAAAAGAAATTCAATTTTGAAGCATTGATAATTTTCGAATTGATTGACCTATGCAAAAATTCAAACAGTGTCCTTTTTAAATTGCTTGTACTTAAATTTTTAGTAAAAATCTAAATTATCTAAATCTAAATTCTAAATTAAAATCTAAATTCCAAACTAAAAAGTAAAAATCTAAATTTTCACTCATCAATTTTTCCGCTCTTAAGCTCGGTTCAAATTTAAAATTCATCCAAATTGATTAAATTTTTTCGAAATTTTACGTTTAATTAGCTGATCAGTTGATCAGATTTATAATTTAATTAAATCCAAATAATTATTACAATGATGTAGCATTTCGTATTTTTTCTTGATTTTTTGAGACGGAAATACTAGAACAATGTTTTTGTAACAGGAAAACGAATGAAAGAAAACAGAATTATTTCCGGATTAGTTCATACTATGATATCTAAATTTATCAGACACTGAAAAGTAAGTTTTATCTTACATGTCAAAATTGAACCAAAACTAAACCAAATTAATTTTATTTATCAAAGGCAATACCGCTTGATTCAAAAAGAAAAAAAAAAAAAGATGCAGTCGAACATCACTCCTTATAAACCGGATCTTATATCAGTTCCGGTTTTCAAAAGATGCATAAAGCTTATTTCCAGGAAATATTTTATGACCAACAATAATACATTCATTCATTTCACTACAACATTGATACAATATTTCATCGTCCGGACATTTACATAACTCTCGATGCTTGAATTCTAATTTGAATTTCATTTTCTATAAAATCTTACAATTCAAATTTTTTTTTTCTTATTCTACACAACAATTTCGCTTAAATAAGCGCTTTTGTCCATGTCATCTGTTCATCGTGCATTCAATGACTTCATCTCATAAATTCTCAATCCAAATTGTGAGTTCTTACAGGCTAATCCTCACAAAATTAATCCTTAATCTCGAAATTATCTCGAATCTCGACGATTGATTTACGATTTGAGAATAATTTACGTAAATAATCTTAAGATGGTCATCTCTTACGATATTTTCAATTTGCAAATATCAAATTTCAAAAGGAATCATTTTTCAATCTGTTTATTTTGTCTGGAAGTGCTTCACAAACCATTCTGAAGATATTTGCTTTTAATGGATGATAGGTGGAATCCGGAATGACATAGCATACTTACTTGGCTATTTTTGCTAAAAAATAACAATTAAATTGACTTATTTACTTATAACATTAGACTCTTATAATTTCCACAACAAAATACCAAAAGGTAGATATAAATAATGCCGGAACCGGAAATACCGGAACAGAGCTATCAACTTTCCTGGTAATAAAAGGAAATTTGCGCTGAATTCCACTTCGACATTTCTAATTGCAAAACATCCATATTTTTCTCTTTTGCAATCTCTCAACTAATTCCTCTTTTCTGTTTAACGAATTTAGCTGAGATTTTTGAATTATGAATAAATTGCAGGTGGCAACTACTTCACATTCATACACATACACTCACTCACATACACATACATGTCATCACACACTCACATACACACATACACGTAAACGCACACATACGTAGAAATGCATAACATAGGTAGATGTCAAATGACGTGAGTAATACTTTTAACTTACATTTTTAATCTCACTTTGCTGTTATTATTTTTATAATTGTTTTGACGTAACTACCGATCATAATTGCGTCATTATTTCTGCGTAAGTAAATCTTTGAGTTGGTTGAGTACACGTTTCCCTTTATTGGACATAACGTCATTAGCTTAAATTACTGATACAATTTGCAATTCGACAAGTAATGTGACACTTTCTTGACAATTCAACTTTAACAACAATCAAATTTTTTTTTCCTTTTTACAGAGAGAATAATTTCAACTAATATTCTTCTTTCAACGAATTTTTTTTTTTTTTTTTCATTCATATATTTAATTTAAAATCAAACAATGATTTAATTTTTGCTAGCTGTAATCAATTGATGTATTTGTGCTAATTTAATTAATTAATGTTACAATGACGCAGAAAAGCGCAGTTATGGAATATTTCAATCTCTCTTTGTCCCTCTCTCTCCCTCTCTCTCGCCCTGCCCCCTCTCTCTCTCCCTCTCTCTTACATATGACAAAATTGTTTTTGAATATGAAATTGTTTAGCTTTAGAATTTCTAATTCATTTGACGACTGCTTCATTTCCACTTTTTTTTTTTAAATTAATTCTCTTATTACTTTACATTTGTATAGTTTCACAAACATTTCTAGTATTTCCGTCATAGAAAGACGTTGAAGTGAAATTAGAATATCACGCATACGTCATTACGTCATTACGTTAAATTGATAATCTAACACAAAAACGTCAATTAGTCAAAGCCAAAAATTTTGCAAAAATTTAATCAATTTTTGATAAATTTCAAATTTTAGCTGAGCATATGAATTGGAAAAATGACTGATTGAGAAATTAAAACTAAAATTTCTAACGATATAAAATTTTTCAAAAATTTAGCATTTTCTCTTTTAGAATAGATTTGCTAATTTAGTGATATTAATTTTATTTTTGCATAAAAATTAAAAAAGAATTTAAAAATTAAGCATGTAAAATTTTCCGAATTTTTATAAAATTTTCCGGATTTTCACAGCAAAAAGTCGTTCAACCTGATAACAATAAATTCTTTTTTCTAATTTTTCAATTCATTTTTTTTTAAATAAAATAGCAAAGTTCAATGCAAAATTTATATTATAATAAGAGATAATTTGCTGAGAAGAAAGCATAAGCCGAATCATTCATTTCTCTTCTGGAAATATCTTTATGATCTAATCTCTATCGCATTTTTTCTTTTAAATTTTTCATTTAAACTTCTAAATCATTCCTTTACGGTTTTATCAATTAGTAATTTCCTGTTTTACTGAATTGTTTCTGAAATAGCTCTGAATTTCTTCCATTACCTCATTTGCTTAAATTTACCACTTTGAAATTTGAATTAATTTGAAAATATTCAATGAAAGAAGTAATAATTATTATGGTTTTTGGTTTTTATTTTTTATTTTATTGAAATTTGAAAAGTACATTGTGTAAAAGAAATATTTTCTAAGAATTTAACGATAAAATTATTCTTTTCTATTTTCTATTTCAGTTCTTTTAATTTCAGTTAAATCCATCCTATTTTCTAATCTTAATTATTCATAACGATCAAATTAGAAATTTATAATGATTTATAAGTATAAATCATCTTTTAAACTATATAATAACTCAACAAATTCATTCTAAAAACAATCGATAATTTTTTTTTTTTTTGAGAAAAGAATAAAAAACTTATCATTAGCACATCGTTATTTCGTTTCTATTTAACTTTCAAAAAAAAAAAAAAGTGAGTAATTGTATTTAATTTTGTCAGTTGATGCTGCGCAAATGTCATAGCTACTAAATTGAATAACTAATTAGCAGCTCTCTTGTGAACAAAGTATTTGTTTTTGTTGTACTGCAAAGTGGAACAAGTAAAATTTCTGTCTTAAAATTTTAGTCAACAATTTTACATCATTAATTTTTAATAAATACCTTTCATTCTCATATATCATTAAATCAACTTGTTTATTTTGTTTATCTAGTCGACATTTTTTTCTCTTTCAGCATTCTTTTGCAGTAACTCACTGATTTGTGTACAAAAAATTATTAAAGTAATTTAAAGTAATTAAAGTAATGAAATTAAAATTTCGATATGAATAATTAGCTTAATTATTCAGAGTACATTATCAATAGTCGCTGCTATCAATGATCCAAAGTTGATCAAATTTAAAAAAAAAATGATGATGATGATGATGTAAAACAGAGAAAGCTTTGAAATAAAATGATTTTGAACAGGTAAGTTTACTGTTATATTTTTGGAACAGTTCAAATTAAAAGATGAATTTAAATTTTAGATGATGCAAATTGGTATTTAGATTAAATAATTGATTATGTAAACAAAAATTTTACTGTTTTTGAAAAAAAGTTCAAATATTTTAATCAAAAAAAAAAAAAAATTCTTATCATTTTATCAAATAGATGATTATTGATATATTTCTTATAGCTAATTTTTTGTTTTTTGCGACATTATGAAAATAGAATTTTAGCTTAAACGAAACTTTAATCGTAATCAATCAAACAGTTTGTGATAAGATCAATAGAACAGTGGACAATCCGAATGTAACGATCGGTGTCACATATCTCACATTCAGTCTTATATTCCAGGTTTGTCTTTTTTTTTTTTTAATTCAAATTTTAAATTCAACATTTTATCAAATAATTTAATAAGTATAACATTTCAATGTAAAGCATAGCGTAATGATAATTAGCTAAACTACTCTAAATATTTAGCTTTTAGCGAGAATTCTCATCGATCGAATGACAATTTAGAAAATTTTAAGATTGATTTAACAATCTATGATTACCTTATCAATAGATTACAGATGATAAACATTCTGTAACTGAACTATCGTATCATTTAAAGTATTTTGTGTAATAAGAATAAAATTTAACTAATGTCACCATTAATAGTTATACAAACTAAAAAACGAAAATTTTTATTGTGTAAATAAAAATTTGTAAATAAAAAAAAAAAATAAGTAAAAATTTAAATAAAAAATTAAATGGCTAATTTTAGATTGCTTATTTGCCATGTTTTGTGACATTTTTACATCGTGATCAACGATGTCATTCATGTTTCAAATTAATGATTGTAATTGGTATCGTTGATATAATAACTACAAATAATGATTTAACAATTGTTGGATTTTATTCTATCATAGGAATTTCATATTGCACAGCACCAATTTTTTCCGCATTTTCTAATTTTATTTCCTTAAGTTAGTAATCAAAAATATATTTAATTTTTTTTTTTTCTTTTCAAAAAATTTAAAATTAAACTTTAAGCACATGGATAGATTACTTTTTCCAGATAGCAACATTTTTATGCTTATATGTATTAAATTGAAACTTAGTTTTAACTTAATAAATGATAAAATTAAATTTTATAATATTTGTTAAAATTTTTTCACTTACAGCAAATTTTACAAATACTTTTTTCAGCATGTTGGTTTGCTCATTGTTCATTATGCATTCTTCTTAATTTTAATCGATGCTGTAATTTATATTTCGGAAGAACAGTGGTAAACATTCGATCATTATCCTTATGATAAGTTCAACTAATAACACTTTTTGAAATTTAAATTGAAATCATTAAAATGAATTCAAAAAGAAAAAAAAAAATTGATGCTAATACATATTCAGGAATGTTTCACAAAATCAAGATTATGGCTTTGGATTTTTATGGCATTCTTATATGCTCTTATTATGTATGCAATTTGTCCAGCTGGATTTTATCATAGTTATCTTGGCATCTGGCTTAATAAATCAAATTCAAATAAAACATTGGTATTTTTAATTTCAAATTTCATTTTTTTCTTTTTTCTTTATTAAAACTAAATTTTTTGCATTTTGGAAAGAAAATAGATTCTGAAATTAAAACTAACGGAAACTCTTATCTTCCCTATTGAATTAATCCTATATTGTTATTATTATAATATTTATGAACTTAATATAATTTGTAAAGTTTATGATATGATAATTTCTTATCACTTTTTTGATTACATTATCAGACGCTCAGTTTGCCTCATATGTTCAATAACGTTTGCGTTGTTGTTATCATTTTTGGACAGTATGTATTCATGGCAATAATTCTGCATCAACGATTACATTCAGTTTCTAACAGATCAATTAGAACAGAACCCAAACTATCTGTATGTTATTTATTTCAAACCTTAAATTTAATTAAGGATGCAAAAGTTATTGGGTAATATAAGTTTAATGTAAATTTTCATTAATTCAAATAGAGTACATGGCAGCTTAGCTAATTTGAAAACAATTTCAGGTTTTTGTAACAATTTGATTAGTTTAAAGTTTAAAGTTTCAGTTTGTAATGATCAGAAGGATTTCAAATAACTAATTAAGCGTACTCCAAGTACCACTGTTGTTAATTTAATATCTATGTTTTCAGTAAAAAGAAGGTGACACAAAGTCTTATAATTATGATAAAACCACTATTTAATATCTTACAGTCATCCAAGTCACATAACCCACCCATCTTACAGTCATCCAAGTCACATAACCCACCCATCTTACAGTCATCCAAGTCACATAACCCACCCATCTTACAGTCATCCAAGTCACATAACCCACCCATCCTACAGTCATCCAAGTCACATAACCCACCCATCTTACAGTCATCCAAGTCACATAACCCACCCATCTTACAGTCATCCAAGTCACATAACCCACCCATCTTACAGTCATCCAAGTCACATAACCCACCCATCTTACAGTCATCCAAGTCACATAACCCACCCATCTTACAGTCATCCAAGTCACATAACCCACCATCTTACAGTCATCCAAGTCACATAACCCACCCATCTTACAGTCATCCAAGTCACATAACCCACCCATCTTACAGTCATCCAAGTCACATAACCCACCCATCTTACAGTCATCCAAGTCACATAACCCACCCATCTTACAGTCATCCAAGTCACATAACCCACACATCTTACAGTCATCCAAGTCACATAACCCACCCATCCTACAGTCATCCAAGTCACATAACCCACCCATCATACAGTCATCCAAGTCACATAACCCACCCATCATACAGTCATCCAAGTCACATAACCCACCCATCTTACAGTCATCCAAGTCACATAACCCACCCATCTTACAGTCATCCAAGTCACATAATCCACACTCTAACCGACTGTGTTAATTCGATAAACATTTTTTGATATTCATAAATTCGAATTAAAACTTTTAGGTACTGATACAATCAGTTATTATCTGTTTCTTCTTGCTGATTTGCAGTGCAATGTACATAATTATCGAATTCATCCGTTTACCGCCAACTCTTTTGCCATTCATTCATATTTCATGGATGTTCTCACAAGGTTCTTACTCTTCTTTAAATTTATTTTATCACATTTTAATGTTATCAATGATTTAATTAAATCGAAGTAAAACAAAATTAGAATTTCAAAATTTTTATTATCCAAATTAATATAGCAATACTTCTGTGATAGTTCTTATTATTACGATGACTTCGAAACAAATCACAATTATAGCTAGAAATTTTGGAATGTTTTTTTTTTCTCGGAAAACTGATAACTGATTGCATGTAATTTGCATGTATGCATGCATGCATGCAATATGAGTAAGCTATAAGAATTTGCTTTGACAGGTGGCAAAGCATTTCTTTACATTGCTATGAACAGAAAAGTACGACGAAATATCGCCGATATATGTTGCAAACAGAAATGAATTTGTGAAATTTGATGAAAATTTGTCAATGCTAAGCGAGAAGGAATCATATATTATTGTTTATGAATGAATGAATGAACGAATTGAGAGCTCGAAGAGAGAATTTTCAATTTTTTGAGAAATTTGATTTTAGTATTACAAATTTCTAAACAATCCAGTAATTATTACCAGAAATTATAGCTTTGTTCTTTTTCGTTTTATTCAATCATATTGTTTTAAAAATTTAATAAATTTTAGTTTCATTCAATTTGAAACTTTTATCGCAGTAGTACAAAAGAAGCACTGAACACATAATATTAACTAACAAAGATAGTCGCAAACACTTATTTGTAAAATGAATTTGAATTCCTCTTACATTGTTTTTGCTTGCTAAAAAAGCAAAAAGAAAAAATTTGCATAAAGTTCAGTGAAAAAGTTGAAATTTTTGAGAAACAAATTTGAAAGGAACTTTTTTTTTTTAAATTAATGATCTGATCTATGACTTATTTTATAAGAAAATGCAACAAATTATTGAATAAATGATAAAGAAGAGAAGGGAAAATAAAAAGTTGATGTATTTACTGGAATCGATAAATAATACTTTTTTTATATTCTCATTTTAGCAGTTCATATTTGAATAAATTCTTATGATATCATTTCATTTACTCTAAAAAAAAAAAAAGATAAGAAATGAAATTGGAAATCAAAAAAGTACAAAGAAATATAATCTAATTCTTATTAAAATAATAATAATGAATACTTAATCAAATGTTTCTTTCTTCAAATCTTTCTAAATTATCCATAAGAGATGAAATACTATATGAATTGATCGTTGTTTCTTTCATTGATAATATTCAATAATAATTAATCAATAAATGATAAAGAAAGGATTCGAAATGATTCGAAATGATCATTTCCATTCCACGTATAAAATGCGTGTAAAAAAAATTTGCGTATAAAAAATAAAATGTAATACGTAGGATCAGCAATGAGAAGTATTAATGAGATGATAAATAAGAGTGATAACGATAACAGTTAAAATTATAGCAATAATAATATTCCGAAAAATATTAAGTTATAAAATTTAGAATTTAACATATCTCAAAAATAAGCAGTAACTATCATTGCTGAATTTTAATATAAGAATTTGAAAAAAAAATTTTTGAAAATTATTGTTGTAAGTCAGTCTCATATATGTGAATGATAAAAAGCACTCATAAAAGTAAAACTTTAAAAGTGAAATTTTTTTTTAGTTGAATATAAGTGGCATTAATAATTCATTTTTCTTTCTTAAATTTGTTGAAAAGTACTTCATTCTACTCATTAAATAATGGAGAAGAATTTTCCAATTCGAAATTTCGATTTAAAACATAAAATGTGCCATGCATTTGAAGGAACACATTTGAAGTCAGTGTTAAGCAGTTCAAGCAAAATAATTGGTAATAATAAGTTTGTGATTAGTTTCAAATAAAAATTATGAGTGATAATAACAGCATTGGTGATAATGGTGAGTGATAATAACATCATTAGTGATAATAATGAGTGATAATAACATCGTTAGTGATAATAATGAGTGATAATAACATCATTAGTGATAATAATGAGTGATAACAACATCGTTAGTGATAATAATGAGTGATAATAACATCATTAGTGATAATAATGAGTGATAATAACATCGTTAGTGATAATAATGAGTGATAATAACAGCATTGGTGATAATGATGAGTGATAAAAATTTTTACATCTTGTTCAATTTTTAAAGAAAAGAGGACTTTTCTTCTCTCGTTTTTTTTGCCGAAATTTCTCCTTCAGTGCAATTATCGACATCATTGTCATTGTTATCGTTTCGCTTTGTCATCTATCTATCTGTCGTCTTTGTCACCATCATTTCAATCGAGAAGGAATGTATGATGGATAATTGAACTGATGAGCAAATGGATTTTGCGTAGTGACATTTTCGATGTCTTCAAATACTTCCTTTCGGTGATTAAACAATGAAATTCCATATTTTTGAATCTATCAACTTTTATATATTTCTGAAATTGCAAATTTTCCTCTTACAAAATTATTTCACCCATAGGGTATTGATAATAAATTTGAAGAATTAAATCAAATCTTTGCAAATGATATCATTTATGTGATATTGCAATTGTTGTCCAATTAAAAGATATAGGTAAATCGATAATGTTATCTTTTGATAATATCATACAACAATTATTCTATCGTTGGGGTTCAATTGCTTATCGCTTTCGATTTATTCTATTTATTGGACCAATCTTATTAACAATAGCTCTTAGTTTTGGATTTTTGTTTATCAAAAGACAGGTAAACTTTTTCCTTTTTTCCTAACTAAAGAATTAGCAAACTATGATAAGCAAGGAAGTATCTCTTAATTTTAACTACTTTTGTTTTAGTTTAATTTAAGCTAAATTAAATTAAGACAAGTTGTAAATTAAAATTGATAAATTAATCAACGGAAGCAATTAAACATTCTAATCTATTTCAGGTAAATTTATTATCAAATCTTTCATTTCATGTTTTAACGTATCTTACACTTATTCAAAAAAAAAAAAAAAAAAATAAGAATGAATTTTTTTACAGACGACAATCGATCCGGAATATGTTTTCTCACCAAAAAATGCGCAATGGCGTTACGAGAAAAAAGTGCTCAGTGATTATTGGCCTTTAAATGAACAGGAATTTTGGCCTGGCAAAAGTTACGACTATACAGGATATGTGGATATTATAGCAGCTGGAATAAAGCATCCAAAATTTGGACGACCAAATATGTTGGTATTAAAGTATTTGGATGAATTAGAACGGATCAATCAGGTTACTACTTCAACTAATAATTAACCAAATTTATGAAATAAACTAAATCCTTTATATTGATTATTTGAAATGAAAAGAATTGTATTGTTATCGTTATCATTGTTCGAAATATTATCATAAAAACTGGATAATCAATAATTAGATAATACTATTTATATGATCTGATCACTATGATCAATAATATATCATCGATTATTATTCAATTAATAAATTTAGCATAATTAAAATGATAAATTTATCTAATTAATCTTTTCAGCATATTATACATAATATTACAATATCAGTAACACATAATAATATGACATACGAAGTCGGTTTTACGGATTTATGCATGTCATACGACTGGAAATGTTTCATGAATGAACATGTGACAATGCTTATGCCAAAAGAACGATGGGGAAATTTTGATCCAAAATTAGCTGAATTTACTGATGATATAATCAATAATGAGGTAAGGATAATCAATCCTTTTTTTTTTTAGTTTTAATTTAATTTGTTTTTCAATGAAGAAATTTTATTTAAATAATAAAAATTTGATTAGTGATTTGTATAAAGCATTCATTCCAATAAATATAAATTCAATTTTCTTCCTATCATCAAATTAATCATTCACAATTATATCAATTTTTTAAATTCAAATTAATATATTTTGTTATAGTAACGGAGTATTTCCGCTTTTTTTCTTTTTTTTTTTTTTGTAATGTATAATTCAGTTTATTTCATACCTTTTCTAGTTTTCTACTTCTTTTACAAGTAATCCACGTCAAGTAATCCACGCTTTACGTCAACATACACATGCATTCGACGTCATTATCTTATCTTTTTTCTTTGAAATCATTGATTAAATTTTTGAATTTAATTTAATTTATTATCAATATATTACTTTTTTATAGGTTAAAATAACTTATCCAATCGGTTGGCGTGGAACTGAACCAATCTATTTTGGCGCATTGATTGGTGCGCCCCATATCATCGATAAAGTAAGTATACCTTTACAGATTTGTATGCAAAACATGGCTGTTACGAGTTCAAGGACTAGTCTTGGGTCTAGTCCAAGTGTCACAGTCTAGTATATGGCCTAGATTAGAGTCTCAAAGGGTTCATGCAATTAATGAGGTGACAGATATTTTCTCGAATTAAGTAAGTCAAGATTCAGTGCAAAACTACTTTTTAACTTATACTGTCATTTTTGAATTCAGTCGGTTTATTTACGAACTGAATGCACCGGTCCGGTTGATATATTTATTTACGGAATAAATGCTATTGTCTCTTTTGCTATTGCAATATTATATTCAGGAAGGACATTTCAATTACGTCCGAGCTGTTAGACTTACTTATAATGTTCGAGATGAAAAAATTGGTAATATTAGCTATTTGTGGCGTAAAAAGGTTGCCGGTTTTTTATCTGACGTCAAGAATCCAGCATCCAGTATGTTAAGCTTTCTTCTTCATTCTTACACATTTCTGGATCCTGTTTTTCAAATAGAAAAAATCAGAAACGTATTCAATACAATTAAATTACAACAACTGTTTTCTTTTTTTTTTTTTTTTTTTTTTTTTTTTTTAAAAAAAATAAAACTAATAAAATTAGCAGTTAGCAATTACAGCAATTTTTCTATCAAATTAACACAACAAAAAACGGTTTACTATCCGTCTTTTCGGAAACCAGTTTTACTGTACACGGTATAATTGTAGAAAATATATTCATAAACTATTTCTTAATAGATTTTCAGGTGTTTCATTTTTGTAGACATCCTGGAATTCGGTATGTTTCATAATGAAAGTTTACCGGAAGGCTTACAACAAGTTGCTGATTCATTGTCACCAAAGTTTGCAATAACTGGTGTCGTCCTATTCTCGCTTTGTGGATTAAGCGCTATTGTTTTGTACAAACATAATGATGGATTCATTGCCGTCGACTGGTTGCGCAGCAAACCGACAATAGCATTAGCCGGTAAGACCGATTCCACTTCTCGTCATCATCCGTTCACGTCCGTAATAGAAAATAATGACACCTGTAAGCAATGAATTTTATCAATCCTGAACTTTAACCTTAATATCTACACTGTAACTTTAAACATAAAATTGAACTGTTGAATTATTAGTAAGTCATTATGAAGTATTATAATTCAAATAATAATTGCAAATATCGGATTTATTTTATAATTTAAAACTTTCATCATCCACTTTTACATAAATGATTTGAGTAAAATACTTTTTTTTTTTCCATACGTTATCAAATGTTTTTTCTGTTTGACGTAGCAAATTGACGTAGCACTAATTTTTACTTAAGTTAATTCCTCTAATTACTATAGCATTATTCCGCTGTAAAACTTTGAACAAATTGTGTAATATCTTCAATCTTTTAATAGTTTAATTTTTAAAACTTCAACAATTCACAACTTAATGATAACATCCTTACTTATCTTAGATGACTAAATTCTTCGATGAAATACTACAAATAAAATTTTAATTATACATTTTCAGGTTTATTTTGTCCTTTACTTGCAATTATAAGCGCATTTGGTTTAATTTTATGGATGGGTTTCTTATACAATGCTATTGTCAACGTATCACCATTTATCATCTTTTGTAAGTTCATTTCAATCATTTCAAAATAATTTCATCTATTTTTATTCGTATAAAAATTGAATTTTTTTTTTTTTACAATTCTAATGCTACTGTGTGCATTGTGCAGAAAAACATTAAAATTTATTTATTATTTTTCTCAATCATTTCAATATTTTGCACATTTTTATCATACAAAAATGATACAAAAGGGAAAAAAAAATGATAATTTGTTTGAAGGAAAAATTTTGATTGATTAATTTATTATAGAAAATATAATTTTGTATAATTATTTAGGTATTGGTGTGGATGATATGTTTATAATGAGCGCAGCTTGGCATCGAACTAATGTTGAACAAAGTGTTTCACATCGTTTATCCGAATCACTTGCCGAAGCAGCGGTTGCAATATCAATAACAACAATCACTGATATGGTATCATTCATTTACTCTTTTCTTATCACTGATATGGTATCATTTATTTACTCTTTTCTTATCACTGATATGGTATCATTTATTTACTCTTTTCTTATCACTGATATGATATCATTTATTTACTCTTTTCTTATCACTGATATGGTATCATTTATTTACTCTTTTCTTATCACTGATATGGTATCATTTATTTACTCTTTTCTTATCACTGATATGGTATCATTTATTTACTCTTTTCTTATCACTGATATGGTATCATTCATTTACTCTTCTCTTATCACTAATAACACTATTGATATAGATTAAACAAACAGTTAAGATTTAAAAGTACACTGTCTGCTGGAAACGTAATGAATGGCATTTTTTGATTGTTCGTTTAAGGATAATTTAGATGATCAGTATACAGTTATATTCCGGTCTGCTAAACCGGATATATCAAACAACTGCGCAATTCAATATAATCTAAAATGACGGTAATTCCTGGATATATCAGTGTATTTATCAACAAATGCATTAAATTTGCAACAAATTTCACATATTTGTTTTTTTTTTTTTTTTCAGTTAACCTTTGGCATTGGCTGTTTGACAACATTACCAAGCGTACAAATGTTTTGTTTTTATACATTTATGGGTATAGCATTCACTTATCTTTATCAGTTAACATTTTTCACCTCTGTTATGGCATATAGTGGAAAACGAGAAGGTGATGGATTGCATGCGATAACATTAAAACCAGTTATCAGTGAAGAATTAGCTGGTTAGAAGATTTTTTTTTTCTTTTTTTCTGTTTGAGAATTTTTTAAAAAATCTTTTTAGGAAATGTCAAGATTTTCTTTCTTTTTCATTTCAGATAATTTATTTAAAAAACTATTTCTAACGGGTAGCATATCATCAAAATCGACAATTTCAACGAATAATAATACTTCTTCAAAGATACCATCTGAATTTGTGCAAGAAAATGTGACAGGAAATGAAGAAAATGTAAAAATTACATTAAGTCAAAAAATGCGTGAGAAATTCATGGATTTTAAACAAAGTTTAAATAAGGTTAGCGTTTTTTTTTTTTCTTTTGACTATCGCAAAACTTATGTGTTTTTCATAAAAAACAGTAATAATTCATTAAAAGGTCAAAGTAGAATCAGTTCGAATTGTTTATTCAAATGAGAAAAAGTTCACAAATTAACTATGACTCATTTCATAGTAGTAGTAGTATGATGTAAACTAGTATCAAAGAAAGCATGCCGATAAATGGTCTTTTGAATACGGAATAGATGGTAACACACGTTACGTCATACGTATTGCGCGTCCTACTTACGTGTTGCTTAAGTGATAACATAACACAATCCTTGTTTATGAAAAAAGTACACGCATTCATTAAACTATGTTACTGTCAATTCGAGACAGTATGAAATTAAACTCAAAAAACTTTGTGTTAAGAGATTGAAGTGGTAATCATCAATACTTTCTAGAATTCTTATGCAATTTTATAATATTGTTAATAAAATTATATATTGATAGTAAGTTTAGAAATTAAATATTTAATAATAATGAGAGTATAATGAATAATTCAACAACAATTTAGGAACTACCAAAATCGAAACATCGTGAAACAATGATTTCGAAAATATTTCGCGAATATTACGGTCCTTTCTTGCTTGATTGTTTCACCAAGAAAGTTTTTATTTTCATTTACATCATCTATTTATCATTAGCAATATTGGGTTGTACAATGTTGAAGGAAGGTTTAAATCCGAAATTTCTTGTTCTGGATTCATTTTATCTCAGCAAATTTTATATATTAATGGATGAAACGTTCTGGGAAGAAGGTATGATTAATTAGTTAATTTTGGACAAAATATTAAATTTGATTTATTACTATGGACGGTATAATGGACTTATTGATTGTTTGGTAATAGAAATGTCAATTGAAAAGATAAACACAATGTTAGTGTATTCGATTTCAAGTTTCAATAGTTACATTAAGAAAAGAGAATTTAGTTGAACTCCATTAAAAGACAAAGATCAAATATCTGAGAAAGTAAAAATTTGTATTTCACATTAATTCCATCCAATGCATAAAAATAGCTTCATATTTTTTAATATTTAAGCAGTAGTAGGTTTAAGCGAATTTAATTATATATTCGTATGAAAGAATGAATCAATGACAAATTGTTTTTTTGTGATAAATATAATGGAGTTGACATATGCATTACTGAAATCTGCATTGATGAAACTTTTTTTTTTTTTTAAATGAAACACAAATAATAAGCAAAGGAGGAATTTCGAAAGTTTATAATAAAATATTATGCGGAAAAATGGAAAGTTAGAATTTATTCATTAATCATTATAGGCAATTGTAACGATTCTTTCACATATTTTTCTAACAAATCGAAATGAATGATAAAGCTATTACCGTTTCCTATTATTCAGGAAATATGTGCTGTATAAGATTTATGATTTAGGCCTACAAATGCAAGTTGTGGTAAATTCACCACCTGATCTGTTTAATTCCAAGGAAAGAAAAGAGTTCCAGAATATGCTCGATGATTTCGAAAATACAGAATATACAATGCGACATAATGCGACAATGATATGGCTTGATGCCTACGAAAGAAAGCTTAGAGAAGATCACAATTTTTCAAAGATTCCATTACCAAAAACGTAAATACCCAATAAAATAGTAATACTTTTGATTAATTAATACTTTTCTAGGAATCAACGAATTCCTGAAAATGAAGTTCAGAAATTTAATTTACAGAGTGTATTTTTTTAGTATTGTACGAACGTATAATTATTTCGAAAAATTTCCGAAAAAAAATTTAATTTCAGAAGTCAAGAGTGGTACGAACGATGTCGAGAATGGCTGATCTCAGCTGGCGGACGACGTTTATGGGAAAAGGATATGGTTTGGGGCAAAAATGAAAGTGACCCCAAAGTGGGTCTTATTTAAGAGATCTGCAATTAATTTTTGAATTTTTATAGGATAAGTAAAAATAACTATTGTTGGTAGTAAAATAATCATTATTAGCAATAGTTAATTAAAACTTCGATGTAATCTAACTTACAAATTTTTTGCTTCGTCGAAGATGTAAGCGATGAACTCTGCAAATTAATAAAAATTACTATGCTTATAAAGGTAATTAGTAAGGATAAGGTAAGGTGTGAAAGCTTATTTTTATCTAGAACTTCAATATAAAATGAATTTTTTTCTTTATAGACATATAATCATCTGTTTGCTTTTCGTTTTCAACTTGGACTTCGAAATTATAAAACGCCAACTGATCATATGCGCAGTGCGATACTAATGAGAGAAATTTCAGCCAAATATGCAAAATTCAACATCACTACTTTTCATGAATACTATCCATTCGCAGATCAGGTATTAATAAATAAATGATCAGATGTGAATTAACAGGTGATCAGGTGTGAATAAATAGATGATCAGGTATGAATAAGTGAATTTGAAACTACAGCTTCTCTTCTGTTCTTTTGCAAAATCGAACCGTAAAAGATCAGGTAGCGTAATGTTAATTATTATTTATTAGGACTATTCAGTCATTCAGTTGAGCAGGATGATTTTTCGGTTTATCATATTGTATATCGAATGTAATCATAGGACTAGTCTTGTTACAATTTTCTCGTATTCCAGTTAATCCTTCAAATTTCTTATTTGATAAGACAGTTTAATTTCTAGTTTTCAAAAATAATACGGAAAGATGTAAAGAACGGTTATTTGCAGTATATTGAATTGAAGCCAGCATTAATCAGGAATTGTTTACTGGCAATGCTATCTATGCTTATCGTATCGTTTATCATGATACCAAGTTGGATTGCTGCATTTGTCATTGCATTTGCAATTTTCAGCATTGATATTGGTATGTTGCTATAACAATATCTAAAATTTAAATTTTAACTTTTTTATTATATTCAGAATAAGTAACAATTGAAAGGATGAAATTATAAAATCATTTGCTTTTTTCACATAACAGATATGATAATATGTCAAATATTCAAAAGTGATAGAGAAATTAGTATAGAAATATTGGACTCTTTTAAGAATTTTATCTATTGAAGAATAATTTATCCATTTAATTCGACGAATAAACGCTTTAAATTTAATTCGGCTGGACAATTTAATAAATTGCAGAATACCTTTTAATCTGATCTGTTTTATTGATTAACAAGGTTGAATAACGAGATTATATACATCTTTAAAACAATTAATTATTTTGCGCCATCTTTTGGGATGTTAAACATTAGAAATTTTTTTGGGAAGAAATTAATTGTAAATTTACAGGTGTAATTGGTTTTATGACTTTTTGGGGTGTACGTCTAGAAAGTGTTTCAATAATAACAGTTATTATGAGTATTGGTTTTGCCATTGATTTATCAGCGCATATTGGTTATGCATATGTAAAATCGAGTGGAAATCGACATGAAAAGGCAATCAGTGCATTAGAAACTATTGGCTGGCCTGTTTTTATGGTATATTATTTCATCAGATTTAACTTATCATCTTTGTTTGTGCTTATATTTTAATTGATAATGTCATGATAACATCAATTATGACTGGACCCTCCTTCCAAATGATACAAACGAAGTATCAAATTAAAATAAACCACTGAAAAATTGAATGGAATTTATATTAAATTTATATAAAATTAACAAATTACAGTAACAAATGAAAGAACGTACTGTTTTTCTTTTCTTTTTAATTTCAGGGAGCTTTATCAACAGTGCTTGGTATTTTAGTACTTGCAACAGTTCAAGCATATATCGTACAAATCTTTTTCAAAACGGTATTTCTTGTTATTATTTTCAGTATGATACATGGTCTAATATTACTTCCAATATTCCTGACGATTATTTTAAAGTAAACAACATAAGAGTCAAAGCTAAATTGAATAAAAAAGTTTGGATTGAATAAATGTGATAGTTTTGCCAGGATTAGTGGAAGGGAAGAGTATCACACAATGATAAAAAGAAAAGAAAGATAAACAGGGAGAAGTAAAAGATATGAGGTATTTTTATACTTAAACTATTTACGTTATGCATATTTGCAAATTTTGACTCCCAAATTGTGAGAAGGAAATTTTCATCTTTATTTGGCACAATATGTAAAAACTTACAGCACATGTGAAATTATGCTATTGCAAAACTGCAAACTTTGCTTTTCTACTTCTTTTTTATTGTTAGCAAAGTCCAAATCTTTTTGCTAGATCTTCAACTGTCTTATCTTAGTTAGGAGCAGCTATAAATACACTGTCTAACTGTATTATTTAACTCATATTTATACAAGATAGTGGAACATTTCAATACTTTTGTATTGGAAATAAAAACATGAATTGATGGCAAAAATTCTTACGAATAAAATGTATATTATAGCAGTATGTTTCATACTAACAATTCAACAAAACATTCCTATAAAAATTGAGTAAAATCACATGAGTTTAGAGCCTTTTTTCTTTCATTTTTTTTTTACGAAAAAATCATGACTCATTATTTGAAAAACTGTATGTTACTTCACAAAACAATACTAAATATAAATCCCTCAATCATCTAGAACAAGTTTGGGAGATAAAAACAATCTAAAAGATTAACAAAATCTTGTCAGATAGGCTATTCCTGATACCCACAAAAGCTGTTATCGTTTCAATACCAATGTCACCAGCTCATCTTCCAGACGTCGTAATTTCGATTTTGTCATTGACGAGTAGAAGATGGAATACCATCGAACACCAATGGAAACCTAAAAATTGCAGAAAGTGTGTTTAATAACACTGATGCAAGCGGAAAGAATATCCAAAAAATATATAAGCAATCTATTCCTATCGTTCAAATAAATGAGATCGTAGGGTAATTCTCTTTTGACAATGTAAATTATTGAGATTAGAGATATAAGATTGTCAAAAGATGACTGATCCCATATTTTCAAGACGATATGGGAACTAATAATAATAAATTGTAAGAGACCTTGGCAATACGAAGTGCAACTGCAAGACAAACAATGGCAATGGTTTGCGGACTATGTGACAGCACCCAGTATGGATCCACATGTGCATCACGCAATATAATAAATGATATAGCACCAATGTGAAATCTTGTAAATTCGTGCGGGCACCAATGCATCAGTGAGGAGATATAATGAAGCAAATACTAAAAATTAGAATATCAAAATGAGTATAAAACATGAATAAGATGAATATATGCTATATAAATAACCAAAAATTCTTATAAATTTTCCTATCGCTTCACATGTAACAATCTTAATAACCTAACTCTGATTTAATTAAGCAAGTCATAAACAATTTAGTTGCTTTTAGACTCAAAATATTGCTTTTCGCAGAAATGAAACATAAATCTCCACTTAAATATATATTCGTCATAGTTGAAAGTACCTACCGATATCTTTCAGAATGACGTTTTCGTTGGCTAGCAAAATGCCAGTTAAAATCAATAATTTTAATCTTATAATTTTAAAGCATTATCATGTATAGCTACATTATATAAAAGATTAACGTAATGATAATGAAAAACATTACCTTATGAGGATTTTCCACAGCTAAACGAAATTTTAATAATCGTAGCACAATATATTCCATTCGTGAAAGACTTGTTCGTAATGCCCACGACTCGTCATCGATTTGTAGGATCGGTGCACAGGGATGTAGTATGCTCAATGCAAATCTAGTTAAGCCTTTGACTTTCGACTAATAACGCCTGATCACGTTGCAAAGTATGGTTCAATTCTGGAGTTGAGAGCTATGATACCCAAAATTTTGCACATGTGCTAAACTCATAACCGAAAAACTGTTGAAAAAGTCAAAGCAAGGTTTTCAAGTAACCTGTAAGCAACATTCACAACATCTCTTGTTTTTACCATCTCATCTTCTTCTATTTTAGCTGCCAACAGAAGACATGCTGAAGCAATCGTCTGCAATAAAAGCATATGTAAAAGAAATGTCATATACTTTTGCACGTTTAATTTTAAAACATCAACTTCGTAGTATAATTTTAGTTCTAAAGAAAACCGGACTTCAAATTTTAAAATAGTTTTTAAAAATCAGAAAAAAAAAACAAGTTAATGTATTTATCAGAATAAATCAGCTGAAGTTTTTTAAATCTCTTTTTGGAAAGGAAATCCGAAATCCCTAAAGGCAAAATAAAGTAAGCACAGCGTTAAAATTTAGAAGTTTGGTCATAGCCACTCCCAATAACCAAAGAAAAACGACATAATTTTTACCTTTGAAAAGCTTTAGTTTATCATCCACCTAGCTTTAATGGCTACTATAGCAAAACTTACGTAAGGACACAGTTCAGAAGCACCACTCTTCCTTAGTGTCCTATATGTTAAAACTGCAGCAGTACATATCGTTGAATTTTTCGCTTCTAATTTGATTCCTAGAATGAAAACACTAGATAAGCAGAAAAGCTTCATATAAGCGTATATATATTGTAGAACAATTTTAATCCTTCCTAATTCGATACTGCCTTACTGTGATCACTTTCATTTTGCATGCCAAATAATATAGAGGAAATTACAGTATATGAAATCATATAGATTTACTTACCAGCCTCGACAACAAATGCGAAAACCTTTCTTCGATTCCTTGAGCGGTCGTCCATCATGAAACAAACACTAAGGTTGATAAAGCCTTAACAAAAACTGATACATAGCATTAAAATCCACTATTTATATTTTCTTTGGTTTGCATACCAGTATAGAATGAGGAATAAGAGATGTACAGAACAAAGTTTATTTTTTATAAAAAAAAATAGATGAAAACACAATGTATAAGAATAAATGATATTTAACAATGTAATTCAAACATGCAAACATTTAACAATGTAATTCAAACATTTATGAATTTTGGCACATTTCATCGGCATAAAATTAGATTAATTGAATACTGCCTTTTCAACTTTTATGGGACAGTAATTAATGGTCAAATAACAATTGTGTGTTGTAACAAATCACTAACACTCTATCATACGGAAGGATTATAATCCTAAATTACAATTAGTACAACCAATCAACCAACCAACAATTAAGGCTCACAAAAGATGATATCATATAACTGTGGTATAAATAGTATCCTCATTAGACAACGAATAAAAACCCAAAGATCGCAATGGTTTATCCAAATTCATCATAAATCCTTGACAATCATAAGCTTGAAGTGAGATCTGTAAAACTTCGGTAATCATATTTTCCCCATTATAGTGATTCATAAAAGATATTAACTGATCTACATACTTAAATACTTCATAATTATAATGAAAAAAGACATGAATTTGACAATACAACTTTTCAGAAAATAAAATAACAATAATTTCTTCGTCATTAATATCATAGATACAAAAGTTCCACAGATTTACTCGAGTACTGCTTTAACGAAGCTTACTTTTCTGGCATCAAGATGAAAAAGTCTGCTTGTAATACCGATTAAACTTTGTACAGTAAGTGTAGAAGGAAGTGAACGTTCCACGACTTTTCCTTCATACGACAACTTTAATTTCAATAAATCCATTCCACCACAAGAAAAACTGCTCGGCTCACCATGTATTTTGATTAATCTGCATTAAAAACACAACATTAGTGCTTAGAGAAATAAAATACAAGTACTGAAATCAATTTAAATAAATCAAACAATAGCATACAAAAATTAATATCTCCTTTGCACCTTCATGCACAAAACTCTGTTTTTACGAAAGAAATTTGGTAATATCTGTTTATTTAAAAAGATATCAACGTGCTGTCTTCTCAACTTTACTGACCTTTCTACAACAGCACGATACTCTTTCGTCGGCGAAGACGTACCGAATTTATTGAGAAAACGCATTTCTGCAGAATTTCTTTCAATGGAACTTATTTCTGAATTACTCAAGAATTTGAGTTGAGGTATACAAGCAATAATGATTTCACGAAGATCAATTCCGGAATCAGCTTCATCATAATTATCAGAACAAGAATAGCATAATCTTTCCAGTTTTGGGAATTTAGCTAATTCAAAAATCCACTGTTTCTGAAAACGAAAATTTGTAGGAACATATAATATATATATCCATATTTCCACCAATCAGATGTTTAATTTTAAAACTATATTACAGAAAGAATCATTTCACAGACTTACATCTTTTATAGGATTATCTTTAATGTTCAGCGAAGATAATGAACTGAACCAATTATCATCTGGAATGAAGATGTGACGCAAACCGCAATTGATCAGATTGAGCTTTTGAAGGCTAAAATTAGATTTAACAATATTTCAAAAAAAAAATATCCAAAAATATAAACAGTGTTAGGAATCAACTATGTTAGAAATCACTGCTTGGAAAATACAAAACAGTTAAGGTGGTGAAATAATTACTTCGGTAAAGTCGATAAAACATAAAGATTAGCAAAATCGTTAATTGGATTCCCTTCTAAATCAATGCTTTCTAAATTATGACCATACACTCCTGGATCGAAGTATTCCAAATTATTTCGATTCAAATGAATTTCTCGTACATATGGAAAGATATTCATAATTTTCCGGGCCTGACATTAACTTTGCTTTATGTGAAATTAATAGATTTTCAAAAGATGCTTACTTTATGAGTTACTGATGTAATTGATGTATCAGTATCTGCTACATAAATCATATCTTTCTATTATGTTGCACAGTGGTGATATATGTTTTATACGGAAACCTAAGAATACATATATAAAACTCACCACTGTTCATTTACGAATAACCTAATTTAAAACAGTAAAAACTTTGATAACTAACTTAATAAAGAGTAATTCTAGTGAAAATAGTACCGTGCTTTCATCAATGCGACATTCACCCAGTGCTAACGTACTGATTGGAGCTGACACCATTCGTTCACCAGT